CCTATATATATATATATATATATATATATATATATATATATATATATATATAAATTAGAAGATGAATCCTTGATCGCTTGAAATATAAAAAAAAATATAAATTTAATAAAAAAAAGAAAGAATATTTTACTTATTTTCGCAACCTCGGAAGAACATATGGATAGGGCAGGTGGGACCCACAGGTATTGAAAAGATATGGCAACGGAAGATAATGATTCCGAATTATCTTGAAAATTGCAATGCGACGCCTTACACAACCTGTCACCTAAAATCATGATTCCATGGAATGTTTTTTTTTACGGCCGTTTTTCTATATTTTATTTTATGTGGATCAAATATTTTTATAATAAACTTTATTAAATAAAAAAAATTTATATGAAATACACTTAATGATTTTTTTGAAGTATAATTTAACGATGAAATTTATATCATTTTTTTTAGTTGCCAGGTTTGAATTTGAGTAGAAATAAAAATCTTCTTGTGGTCACGAAAGTTCAAATGTGACAACTTCGGATTATCCGTAAAATGATAGTCATTCTGTAATTAATCGGCTCACATAGCAAATTAGATATTTAAGTTAATCAATATATATATGTATGTGTATATATATATATGAGCGATCTAATAAAAACCGCTTCCATTTGTGTAAACCGTGTAAACCAATCTCACTCATCCATTTTCTTGATCAATGGTTAAGATTAATCAAGGTTATTTAAGGAAATTAAAAATAAAAAAATTGAAAATACATTTTATAATACCGATAAGGACAAAAGGGTAAAACCAAATATTCATTTATTCAAGGAAACCATATCATGTATATCATATTATTAATGAAACTAATCTATTTTTTGTAAAATAATTTATTATTTTTACGTTAACATTTATTATTATTAATGAAACTAATTTATTTTTCATCTTGCAATTATTTCATGATGAACCGCCTACATTATGCATCCGTTTCATTTTTCATTTCATTTACTGAATGGATCAAATATACCATCACTGAAACGGGTTTCACCATGAAAACAATTCACCACTAATTGTTCAATTACGCCATGAACCAGTTTCTCCTTCATGAAACTTGTTTCATGTAAATTAATTATTTTATTTTACTCATGATTTGATGTATTCTTTCTTTTACTCCTTACAATCTTCAAGATTCTGGAGCAGATTACAATCTTCAAGATTCTAGAGCAGATTACAATCTTCAAGATCTCGAAGCAGATTCATCATGTACCCGTTTCATCATGCAATTATTTCATGACGAACCAAATAAATTATGCACTCGTTTTATGTTCCATTTTTTCTACTAAACGAATCAACTACACAATCACTGAAACATGATTCACCATGAAACGATTTCATATTACTCATGAATCAATTACAACATGAACCAGTTTCACCTTCATGAAATCTGTTTCATTAACATTATTTTTTTAATTTGAACCATAATTTACGATTTCATTTTATAATGCAATTCAATCTTCAAGATCAGTTGCATATTCAATCTCATAACAATATATCAAATTCAAATTTTTAATATTATAATATAATTAAATATTTAAATATTACCATTTATACAATTTCCTTTATTACGTTTCTTTAACTAAGATTTATTAATAACTTTCATATTTAATATAAAATATTGTAAATGACCGAAGTACCCTTATTGATTAAATTTAATTAGAAAAAAATGAAATTTTCTTATTGGTCGAAATTGGTTTACACGGTTTCTTAGAAATGCACGATTTTCATTTGAACGTGCCCCTATATATATATATATATATGCTTGTGTAGTATTATATGTTTAACAATTGTTGTATATGTTTGTATAACATGATATGTAACTAGATATGTGTATGTGCATGAGTTGGGTACGAAATTTGATTCTATGTTTTTAATTTAAACTTTTTATATTCATATGGTATGTAATTGTCTCTTCGATATGCTTTTATTCATATTCGATCATTTTGATCTCTTACTAGCTTTATTACTTGGGTATATCTGGTTTGCATATGTTCATTTTCGTCTGGCTCCTTTTAGACATGTTGGTTTCAATTTAATCGCTCTGTCTTTTTTTAGTTTTGTTGCTTTTTTCATATACGAAGTATTTGAACATGTTAGCATTTGAAATCGGGTGGTATACCCTCAATGCGATTTGTACCTACACTTGGAAACGTGAACATGATGTGTGCACTGATATATGATTATGGCAAGGTTTTCAAGGTGCATTTGTTTGTATGGCATATTTCGTATTTTGAAACATTTTCTTTTAAGCATATAATATTTATATATAGCAAATGCAACAAATAAACTTATACACATTTCTCATATTTTGTAAGGTTTGAACCTTTTTGATCTTTTAGGAGACCAGAGACTATAATACTGCTAAGCCAAATATCATTTGGTATTCTAAAACACTTTTAATGGTAAATTATTCTAACATATAACTTGTTATAACTGCATATACTCTTCAAAATGGACTACCATTTGGTGAATCATTCTACATGACATGTTTGCATCACTTCTATTAACTCTTTGCTTTAAATGATGAAGCATAAGATTTTTATATAATATGATAAACTGCACACGAAAATGGGAAAACCTATATACAGCATTGAGGAACTTCGAGTAAAAAGTAGTAAGGCAAATATATATGTTCAAGATTATGAAACTTATGATAAATCTATGGATGCAATATTCACAAGATTTATTTCATCATGACAAGCTTAAAGAAACTAGACAGAGTTGTTACATAAACTTTAAAAAGTTACTTCTTTCACAGTTTGTCAGGATTAGTCCAGGCGTAGCTTGGGACACTCTTCCAAAAAAAAAAACTTCAAGAAATTCCAGTAATCCCCAATAAAATCAAGATTGAACTTATCCTAACCGAGAATCTTCCTATGTAAACGGCTCACCACAAAATAATATAACCCTTAAGAAATTTATGACACCTGCTATAGATTACGATTGTTTATGTCTACAAAGGTTCGAAAACCATATGTCTTAATGATTATTGAATATGTTATCCAATAATTCAAATTAAGTTGATATTGTCATAATCCTATATAGACTGGACTTGAACTAATTCTCATCTATATATGTTGAAACTTCCATTCTCTATTTAAAAGACCCTCTTTGAGAATAAGTTGGAGGTTCCATATAAAATCAAATGGTATCAGAGTTAATTTCTATCGTTCTATGGACTCGATACCGTGAGTCAGTATGTACTCATTTAGCCCCCCTTTAACAATCAATATTTATCAGCTAAACTTTGACAATTTCTCCTTGTTATAAACATCTGTTTAATGGATGTTTTGAAGAGTGAGGTCCATGTAAAATGAGATATGTTTGGTTTGAGCGAAGTAGAAGTACAAGTAGTTAAAGGGACATAGTTTTAAATGCTAAGTAGTGCCATTTTGATATAAACTAAAAGTACATGTAGCAGTACAACTTCTTCCTTCATTTTGTCTACCCTTACGTAACGTTAAAAATACACATCATCCTCTGTCTCTCTCTTTTTTTTTCTCACTTCTATTTTCTTTTTCCTTTTTCTTTTTTTCTTTATAACTATGATGTCAATGGCATCATCATCATCATCATCCCTATTTAAATCACATAAATATCAGCTAATGACATCCAACAAAATCAACGTGTATTACAAAATCACATGTGATTCATGCAAGCCAAGTCACCTACCTGGCTGCTCACCCTTGCATTGATAGTGTTACGTAGTCGTTTGTAAAATCACATGTAATTTAACCATTTCTTGTTCTATTATTTTGACCATATTCTAGTTTAATTCCCCCCCCCCTATATAGCTCACTCCCAAACTCTGGTTTTGGGTCTGCTCCTGGTATATCTCATTCGAAAGTAGGGTCTTGAGAAAATATATGTGGACATTATCTCTATACGAAGAGATATAGTGATCGAAAAAAACTTAGGTCCCGTTTGATTTGCAGGATTAGATTGGATTTCACCTTGGTTCCTAAAAAAACTAAAATAATCAAAAAAAAAAAAAAAAACAAGAGATCTAGAATTAAAGAACCCCAAATCAAGATTGGATACCCTAAAGATTGTACCCTAGAATTGGAGAAAAAGCAAGAAATCGAATAAGAAACTTGTTGAGAATGTCTAGAAAACAATCTTTATGAAAATTGAAGAAATCGATCTTGCCAGTGCAGACAGGAGAAATCGATCTTGTATGAAAACCAAAGAAGAAACAAACTCACCAAAGGGTCTTTGGCCTAGCAGTATCGTAGCCTTTGACCTCTTAGAGGGGTTCAAACCTCACCGAGGGTGTGTGAGTTTATTTGTTGCATTTGCCGTATATAAATGTTATATACTTCAAAAAGAAAAATCTTGCCGCTGCATACAGGAGAAATTGATCTCGTATGAATACCGAAGAAGAAATTGATCTGTTGATGAAAACCGAAGAAGAAATCGATCTTGCCGGTGTAGAAATCGATATGTTGATGAAAACCAAAGAAGGCTTGATGGAAGGAGAAATCACCGGCCGCCAGAAAGGAAGAAAAAATCGATGGAAAGGAGGTGTGTATTGAAGGAGGCTAGGTGAAAGGAGGCGTGTATTGAAGAGGCGTGTTCATGAAAACTCAGGGGCAAGTGTGTCTTTTTTTTGGCTAAATGTGGACAACCACCCATATCCATCTGTGCAAATAAGTAATGGACTGTGCATATAAGCTCCAAGTAAACGCCCTATTTTGACTGTGCGAATAAGCTGGAAGCCCAATTAAGCCCATTAAGTCGTAAGTAAACATCCCCTAAGCCTATTAAGCTGCTAACAAACAGACCCCTAAAAAGGTTTGATCATGTAACCTAGACACACGTTAGAAGGCCCGTGTCCCAACTAAAACGTAGTCAATCATAACGATATAATCGCAAACAGCCAATATACCCAAGGTAATCGTTCATAAAAACAGAATGCGTGGAATAGCAGCGAGTCCATGATTAAATGGATCACATATTCACATTACCTAAAAGCTAAATGCAAGGTCATTACTAGATTCATTCAAGATTTTAAGTCACGGTTTTGTACAACATAAATATATAAAGCCAGAATTTTCAAGCTATACGATTATCGTACCTGCAATAAGCGTCGCCTCCTTCTGAAGACGATTGAGTAGAATGTCTCCACTTACCCAAAACAGGTAGGGCACAAAACATCCTTTGAGAAACGCCATCCACATGATCTGGGATCACTTCATTTCATCGTTTTGCTACTTCCTTCCAACATATGCTGCCAGTTTCGACAAGTCTGGGATCCAAAAAGACAATTCAGACGAACCAGTAACAAACATTAGACTGCCAGGTGCCCATCTTATGACAGGGGGTTCGTTTTCAGTGCTCAACCAACTAGCCACCTGAAAAGCCCGAAAAAATTCAAGTGTCATGCCCAACTCATAAGTCAATTTGGTAGTGAATGAAACAAAAACAATTGCAGACCACAAATCAATTTGGTAGTGAATGAAACAAATGGGTATTCATTAGTTGCTGTTTGATTCTAAAATATGAAGTTAGAACAACCATTTTCTCTGAAATTTAAGCACATAGAAGCGTGAAAATACACCATGTTAACAAGAGCGAAAAACAATTGTAACCAACATGCTTGGTTTTTTAGATTTTAAATAACCATTCTACTTGCAAATATTCCCCCAAAAATAACACTATATTTGGAAATTTGAAATATTTTACCCAAATTTTTTCCAGGTAGAGTTTGGGTTTCTACTCTACAAGCTAAAATGGTTTTCTAAAAGCTAATCTTTTTTACTCAGTTTAATAATGATGATAAAGGCCTAAAATGCAAGAACCATCTATCTTGTTCTATTAATTCTCAATCTTATAAGATTATAGGAGATGGTTTTGCGTCAAGTTACAGATGACAGCCATAAAACCATTTAAACAGAGTGTTGATTACATATAGTTCTAGAGAGCAGCAGATGAAGTCTGAAAGATACTTTTCCTTTCTCATCGCCATTTTTTTTTTATTTTCTGGGGTGTGGGGAGGGGAAGTGAAGTTTCAAAGAATTGGTAAATCGTACCTCTTTGCCACTTCGAATGCTCCAAGCATAGACACTACCATCACCTGAACCTGCAAGTGACAGCTGATTAGTGCTCATGAGCTTGAAAAATTATGACACTTCTTTGTTCCTATCATGTCTTGACTCTATTAATTTATGATGTAGAATAGCTAGTACAAACTAGCAATATATATAGACAACTGTCTGATAATATAAAACCAAACCATCCCATCATATCCCACCCGAGTGTGGGTTTGGAGGGTAGGATGCACACAGGGTGGACCTATTAGGAGCTGAGCGGGATCCCGTGCACCCACTCACTAGATTATTGCAAGAGAAAAAAAGCTAGCCGTTTGATAGGTGCCCTTAAATACTTTGAGACCAAATCTATGATAGAAATTAAACACGGGTGGAACGGTTGGATTACCACTTTATATACAAGAGGTCATGGGTTCGAATCTTTTAGGTGAAAGTTTACTTTTTTATCTTTCAATTTTTGGCTTCAGGGCTGGCCCAGAGCATTTACTTAGGCCCTACAATGCTATTTCTGAAAATATTAACATCAAAGATATAGTTAGAAGGATTGAACTACAACCTCAAATACAATTATAATTTACCTACCACTATGCCAAAGCAACTTTTTGTTAACTTTTCTCCCATTTTGATTTTATTATTTTTTTCATCATTTATTTTCCTTCCCCAAGTCAACTCATCTGAAAATTTGTTGCTTTTTATCTCATTTTCAAGCCAATATATATTTAATTTAAGGATCAAGATCGATTCCATTTGAAAAAATGTATCTTATTCCTCAAATCGACACAATTGACTCTTCCGTAGGTCAAACCCACTTTCTTCCCAGGTCAAACCGCAATTTTCCAGACCTTTGATCCACCTTAAGGTGCACCTGCTCAAAGAAATTCCTGGGTCCGCCACCAGATGTACACAGAGCTGGCCTCTAGCATTAGAAGTAGGGTGGATGTTCCATGAAGACCCCTGGCTTACGAACAGTGTTCGAGATAAAAAGAAATCTTGTCCAGAAAGAGACTGTAGAGCTTTGGTATTACCTGATATAACGAACATTCCCTCAGGACTAAAAGAGGCCTCCAAAGTGGAATCAGTTAGGACTGGCTTTACATTATATGTGCATAACTGCACAAAAGTATAAAAGCTCCTTAGAAAGATATGAATAATTCTATGTATCAAGTGAAGTCATCCTTAACGATTTCATGCAGAGAAAATACTCACAAGTGTGCCACGGAATGAATCAAGTACATGAATACGGCCATCCCTAGTTGTCAAAAGCATAAGTCTACCATCATTACTAAATTTGACAACATTCGCATCAGACAGATCTCCACCAACAGAGAATATTTCAAAAGGACCCTTCAAGAAATCAAACTTCGGAAAATTAATATTTGATTAAACTTTAAATTTCATAAATGAAATACAACTTGCAATCGTTGACCTCCAGTATTTGATGGGTTTAAACTAATAACCTTTTCATAATTGCGAGAATCAAACATCCTTATGGACCCTCCAAAAGCAACTGCAAAGACAAGCCCTTGATCGTCATAAGCTGTAGCTGGTCTTCCTTGTACACGTAAAAGGCCCTAAATCCAGAAATTTAATCAGCAGCGATAGCTTCATGGGAACATGCATACTTGACTGCCTACATACATATAGAGGGAGGTTCAGGGGAAAAACCCCCCAAAAAAATGAAAAATTGAGGAACACCCAGGTAATATTAGACGCCTGTTGGCTTCCAGCCTTCCTTCGCCTTTCATGGCCACATATCTTTCCGACAATTCATATGAATGGTATGCACATGTGCATATAAGTAATTTGTAAGCAATTTGTCTATGTGCATAACATGCACACGTGCATAAAAACAAGAAACAACTTCAATTACTTGTATGCACATATGCATGCCGTGCAGATGAACGGTCACCAAGGTATTCCTCGGTTTTTCATTTTTTTGCAGTTTACTCCTGAACCTGACCATATACATACATATATATATATATATATATATTATATACACACACATATATACATACATATATATATGCATGTATGTGTATACACACATCAGAAACCGCATCAAGTGGACTAGAATATAACCTGACATTTATCAGCTCTTTGATCCCAGAGCAGAACAGTTCTATCAAGAGAACCAGAGATAAAGTATTCTGACCGAGCACATAAACTAAGGGAGACAACCCTGAAAGAATCAATTTTACAAAATGTTGAGCAGTACAATCTGGTACTAAAATTACATGCAAGTAAAATGGCTTATGATGTGAAACCCTGCCTATCATGATGACCTTTAAAGTAGCGCAAGTACTTATTGTCATGCAACGAGAGAAGCCGGAGAGATTCTGCATGACCAAAAGCCAAATGAGTATAAACGCTAATAGATTGCAGGCCTGCAAAAACCATTATGATATACCAACCGTCCCATCCATTCTTAGAGGAGTATATAACAGTTGTGGGGTGTGAAGTGAAGGAAACCAAGTCAACCCCATACTTTTTGCTATTAATCGTCTTCAAGCATCTGCAAGTAAGAAATTACTCGGTGCAATAAAATAAAAGAAAAACCAGTAAACTGTAATGACTGCACACTGAGACCAAGTATATTTAATACATATGAGGTCGTTAAGTCTATGGTACAACAGCAGCAATAATTGACGAAGCGATCCACTGTGTTCCTTTTCGCTTTATTATATTAGTATATGTCAAAAAGTTAACACTACGCATCTAGAGCAGGTCAGCATTGTTATAATTCTATATGTCTACTTAAGTGATTAACATAACAAAACAACACAAATCTGTTCAGTAATCCATTTCGCTCTAGACCATGAGTTTTTATCTCCAACCTTGGGATCATTCACAAAAAATACTTACTTGCACCAAATATTCCAGAACACACTTCCTTTCCCATGATTGTTTACTTTGCAACAAACATCTTACCACCCCCACCCCCTAAATCTCAAGAAAAATAAAATAAAAATGCATTCTTTTTTGCTTCTTCTCTGTGACAAATCATGTGATTAGACCACTCCATGAAGTACCACATTGAAATTTTCGTTTTTTCCAACCTAAAAAATAATTCAAAACTGCATTAACACAACACCGAATAATTAATATCCTAAAAGGAAAGCCAGAAGTAAATATAATATTCATTTACTGCCTTGCTAGAAGCTTGTTCCATTTTCCAGAAAATTATAGATGTCAAACACGAGACATACGTTGCATTAGCCACATCATAGAGCCGAATGGATTCGTCATCACTAGCGGTCACCAAATAATTTGACGTTCTGTGAAAATCCATTGAACTTATCCTACCATTCTGCAATAAAAGAAAATTTTGTTTCAATGTTTTGATTAACTTGATAGACAAAATTGTAGTGCAACTTTATGACTATAAACCAAGAAATATCTCCAGAAACTGCCAAGGAAAGCAAAAGGTACATACACTGACCATGATCAGCAAAACAAAAATGACATTAAGCATCTCAAAAGCAATAACCGATTTCCACTTGACTCTCAATATGGCAATGATAATAGAATATGGAAAACCATGCATATAAACCTATCATGTGGTTGAAAATGCATTCATTGGAGATGTTAACAGCACCATGTAATGCACTAATAAGAGATGAACACAGCATATGATGAGAGTCTACATGGACCCTTCAACGCTAGAAACAAATTCTAGTTGGAAACATAAATGAGCATAGCTACTGGCTACATGTGCCGAATTGTGATCAACACTCATAATCCAGAACTGAAAACAACCAAAGTATTATCACGATATTCACCATTAAACCAAATGAATTCATAGTAGTTAGGCCTTCCCTAATCCCTACTTGCAGAATTACCATTAGAATCAATACCCTAATAATTGGTGTGTAGTAACCATGCACACAAAATTGAAGTGCAGCTGATGATCATTAATCAACTTATATCTCCAGAAATTGCCAGGGAAAAAGAAGATACATATACAAATCACGATCAGGAAAATGAAATAGCATTAAGAACCTCAAAAGCATTCGGGTTAGTTACGTTTTCCCWRMATCMRATTACCATTAGAATGAAWMMACTCTTAGTAAGTGGTGTAGTTATGGGTCAGACTGTTTCTGGTTTACAATAAGAGATGAAGTTACAATGTTGAAGTTAGCTGTTAAACACAGTTGCTGATACATGATGACACCAAAAGATATGTTTGGTTGCGTGGGAGATCTTGAAAATATCAAGTTTTGAGGTGGTAAAACACCATAAGCGAATGCGTAAATGCCGATGAGTATCATGGACTAAGCCTTTAAATTATGAGTTAAGGCTTTGTTTACCTAAGATAGAAAATTCTACTAATAATGTTATCTGCATTTTCAAGGAAATATAACCTACAAGAAAATTGACTTACTAGATAATAATTTTACTTAGTTCACAAAAAGCACCTCCAATTCTCCTGCATATTTGAGTCACTCATTTGATATCCACTTTCTTTATCCATCGCTGATTGGTGTGCTAAACAGAAGTAAAGCCCATTTTCAGCAGGAAACAAAGCAATGATAAAAGATTTTTCTTTTTGTCATGGGTTCAACTTTCAAGTCACCTGAAACAACCTCTTCACAAAATCCAACCAAAAACCGCATTTAAAGACTTCTTTCCCCAACCCTTGCAAACCCTAGAAGCCTTGATGGACTAGGGTCACCCTGTAGTCTTCATTTGAGGGGGTCATGAATGGTATTATAAACCAAAATTTGGACCCCCACATTAAGTATGATCTTCAACTAAATGTTAACCAGGCATTTAGCTACATATCTTTCATTTATGGTGTTACTTGTGAAATATAAGCGCTATAAACTTCATTCATCAGCAAAATCCTAATGATACAGAAGAGCATGACATTTAGGCGGAAAAAAACGAAATTCGGAAATTAAACCATAGCCTTTCCATTTAGAAATGAAATTCAAAGTAAAGAGAGAGGTTTACATAATCACGGAACGCCATTCCGACTTCCATGCTCTGAATGATTTCTTCTGTGAGCTCCAATGATACCTTGTCTTCTCCATCCGTTTGTCCACCTACACAGAATACGAAGACGAACATTCAACCCATTCCAGCATAAGAAAAAGAATAAGAACATGTTACGAACTCAACCGATTGAATTTCTCACCTGCCATGGACAAGCTTCTTACGAAATAGCAATCGAATATATTTCTCCTCTACACCTCTATTTGTACATATATATATATAACGACGCTTTCGATTTTCGAAAATAAGGGTGAACTTTTATGGAGGGAAAGGGATTTGTTCGCCGGATTCCACTGTCCGCCGTCGTCTCCTCCGTGTTCAGAATGCAGATGGGTCAACAGCTTCCCGTCGCGATTCAGATATTTATGGCTTTCTGGCCCAAGTTTGTCTTGGAACCGGCCCGATAACTTATGGTTCAGAGTTCAGACTTTGGAGTAAACTACACATGACGGATTGGGCCTAGCCCGGGAACACCGAAGGACCAGAACCGGTGCCGGCATAGGCTCGGTCCGGGACCGGTTATGGTTTAGGCTGTTTTGAGGGACAGGTCCGGAATTTTTAAAAAGCTAGTCCTTTTTCCAGCTGTTATGTAACTGTGTTTTGCAAAATGTTACCCTTTTTTTTTGTTTTGGCCCCTTAAACATATATACAAGTGTTATGATGTACGAGGTAACATACCAACTTACAAAACGTAAAAAAAGTTCACAACTCTCGCTATAAACGTGTTTTTAAGTGTATTTGAGTGACTCAAATACATATATTAAAGTGTATAATTACATTAAAGTATTGTTAAAGATTTATCAAAAAAATAATATGGGACATGGTTTGGGCCCCGTTCGGGACCGGTTTTGTTAACCGGTTACATTTATCCTTAACCGGGTCTCAATGTTTTCAACGGAACGGGGACCGGTTCGGCATGTTACTGTATTGTTCTAGCATGTTAATGTTACCGATTTGTTGCCATGTCTAGAGTAAACTACGGTTTTTGTCCCTATGGTTTAGAGAAAGATTGTGATTTCATCCCCATGGTTTACAATCTATTGTTGTTTTCGTTTTTGAGACTAGATATGTTAAAATTCTTTAATTTAGGGATATTTTAGTCTTTTTATTTTCTTTTCTTTTTTGGTTTATTTTTTGGCATTTACTTCAAAAATAATTAATACATAAAACAATTATATTATTTTATTATTTTTTGACACTAAAATAATTAAATGTTTCTATACAATTAATTTTTTTATATCTTTAGTCATTGTAGTTTTAGTTTTTTGTGAGTTTGTTTTTTTTCAATAAAATCGTTTAAGTGCAAGAGTGTATATACAAATTACTAGTAATAAGACTTGATGTTTGGTGATCCAGCCACCGGTTCGATTCCTTCAAGGTCAATAAGGATTTTCCTAGTTATTCTCTAGAATTCTGAGATTAGTTGAAGTGCACACAAACTAACTCGGACACCCACATTTAACAAAAAATTATGAATTGAAAACCTTATCTCACAATTGATCGGTTTTCCACAAAAAACAAAAAATCATACGGCGTAAATTTATAAATTTAGTTCTCGGTTTACGCTTAAATTTTACATTTTGCTGCATTGCAGCTAATTTAAATATTAAATCATAATCGTGACGAAATAAATATTGTATGGACCAAATCTATAATAAACATACGAAGATGTTAATCGTAAAAGAAATTAAAACACATGGATCACATCCATAATTCACTTTTATAGCGGAAATATGCTCAGATAAATTAAAAGATATCAGTAAACCAATACACTTCCAAAAAACACAGACATTTCTTTTTATTTTGGTCCATAATTTTTGCATTAACATAATTGTATAGATACAATATTAATAAGTTTAAACTCTTTTAATACCATAAACTCCATTTTGGCTTGGTATTTAAAACGCATTAAACTGATATATTACTCTTGACTTCACCTAACCATGTCTAAAAATAAACTGTATAATACATTTTGGTTGTATTCGACTTTTCAACAATAAATGTCTTAACTTTCATTTTACAACAAACAACATAGGAAAAGATGCATACGTTTTTTAACCATTTTATTTTCATTTTAATTATAAACTAACCAGTTATACATGTTGAAATAAAAACACCAAAACACATGACAACCGTAAGTGACTCGTATGACCACACTTGTAATTTCAACAAAAATTGTCGGAAATTGATCATGTCTCGAATAATAATTAGGTTCTTGATTGCCCTTTGCTTTTCGAGAAAATCCCACCAAGTAATGGAATCAGGGTTTTCTTTTTAGCTTTCCTGATCTTGAAGGAGGACGGGTTTCTCTCTTGCATTTTTGGTACTTCGACAATCACCTTCGTCAGTGGGTCATCATCAGACTTGACTGAATTTTCATGTTTTAGTTCGAACAAGAAGTCGTCGTCATCGGCATCTAGATTGTATTGGTCTTTTACTGGTGGATTCGTTTTAGCTGGTTTTGGGTTTTCGATGAATTTGATCTCTTCTAGCTCTGTATCAAGGAGTGCACAGTGGCTTGAATACGAACAAGGTTCTGTTGCCAACTTCAACTGGTGGAGTTCCGACTTGGTCTCTTCGAGCTGTTGTTTAAGCGCCGTGAGATAACAAGCCATGGAGTTTCCATCGTTTTTCACATTTTTTAAGGTTTGTTTCGCTTCCCCGGCTCCAAATTTTATTTCACACCGACTCTTTCCCGTTTCTACACTTCCCATCTATCAAGGTAAATAAGCCAACTTCAACCAGCAATAAATAACAAATTCCAAGGAAAAAACCGTACATTCTCGTCGATGTACAATGGATTAAAAAGTATGTTTTGCGTTATAAAAATGTAATACAATTTCGATTTGTTTTCATTCATTCGTCTTATTTCAGACAATAAAACGAGTTACCATTTTACTAAAAAAAAATACCGTCTTCTTCTTACTTAAAAAGAAACATGTCTTAAAATGTCAAATTGTCGTTGTATAGTAACCCTAGTGAGCAAAAAACATTTAGAACGTAAAGTGTAATGGCAAGATAAATTAGCGTACATAAATATAGAATAACAAATAACTGTTTTATTCAATAATATGTATAAGAAACACACGTATTTTCAGTCGTTTAACTTTACGTTTCATGAAACCTTTTTGTATATTTATCGAGAGTAACGTACCTTCTATTTTGCATGTAAAACTTGTTGTTTGATAGCTAATCAAATGTTAATTAACACAGTTAAAGTGATATATATATATATATATATATATATATATATATAACAAAAACACGTATTTTATTTAGAGAGCGAAATAACCTCTTTGAGCTTGTGACAGGAATAAACCTCGCCAACTAAAACCTTTTCTCCAAACAAAGTAACAGCTTCTTTTACAGACTTGAACGGCTGTCGACTATCGATTTCCACTCGTCCTCTCACCACCAAACCCTCCTCCATCTCGATCTCCGTCTCGTTTGGTGTCTACAAAACGCTCAAAACCCTAAAACACTTGATGAAATTAATGGAAATGGGAAACATTTATAAGATAGAAAAAAAATATGATAGAATTATATGTAGAAATCTTGGCTTCCACTTCACTAGAATTCTGTTAATTGAAGGTGATGTTTTATGTGTTTGGTGGTTGCACCATCTTATTCATTTTAATCATTTTTCATAATGTATTTGGCAATAACTAATTTTAATTCATTGAAAGCATGATTTGAGTCCACCTTCTTATGTCCCACCTACATAGGGGCCCATTTGGGCCCATAACTAATATTTCCTTTTATAATTATTATTTATTTTTATATTGTATATTGAAATATTTATTGTGATTGAAAATATAAATGTTGTTAATGGTGGAAATGATATGAGACAACTCGCGAGCTACTTGAAATCGATTTGGTCAACACTCGAATCGAATAGGCTCGGCTCAAACTGGAACTCGAGTCGAGCTACCCAATACTCGACTCAAAAAGCTAGTGAGATACTCGGTTTTGTATTAAAAAAGATGATCAGTTTTATAATATATCATGTATGATATAATGTAATGAAAATGGCTTATGTTTTTAAATATTTGAACAGTGTTTGCATTTTTAACTATAAAAACTAATTAATAATTTTTTTTATTAAAATCGTAATTAAAAAAAAGACAAAAAGACTATAGAAGTGTTGGTGAAGTTGTTCCGGATCGAAAGAGAGATAGTAAGAGAATGATGAAGATGTGTTATAAAAAGAGAGAGGGTGAATAAAGTTTGTAACTTTGTCTTTTTTATGACGAAGTTTGAGGTGCATCCCTTTAGTTTTTTAAAATTTGAGAGTCCACTTTTAAGTTTTATAATTTATAAGATAAGATCTTAAAATTTCATAAAATCGACGCGTGAGCTTGATTCAAGTTCGAGATTGATTCGAATAGGAGTTTGAGCTTCAAAAGAGTTCAAGCACGAGTTCGAGTTTAACAAATTGCAGTCGAGTTTAGTTTTCAACTACTCGCGAGTTTTCGAGTCGAGTTCGAGCTCAATAAATAGCTATCGTGTTCGAGTCGATTATATTGATATTCAAGCTCGACTTTCATCATTTACACCCCTAATTATTGCCTAAATATTTTTTAAAAAGGTTTTATTTTGTAAGAACTATGTTTTTTTAAGTTAAAACACGTCATCATCGTCAAAATTGTTTACATTTTATATATTTTTTTAATTATAATCATTGTTTTTTTATAATGTAGCAATTCTAATGATTGCAAAGATACTTTGATTTTTGGAATGCTTGTATTACTTTTATTTGATTAATGTAACGTCTGGATGTTTGGTTTAAGTTTGTTCGGAATTAGTATAATTATTGGCATATTCAGGATTTTAAAAGAGACTAGATCTGCCGATTGTTCTCGTTAACGACCACAAAGGCATACATAAAATGCAGATGAGAGAAAGCGCTCGATGAACGATGATTGAAGATTGCAACATCTTTCTAAAAAAGACAGCATTAGACCTATACATTTTTTAAGCATAATTCGGCCAACGCTTTTGAATTTAAGAGCAATACCGATCAAAATCCGGTTTGTTTGTTTGTTTTTTTTTTTTTTTTGAAAATGGGGCCAAATTTTGCAACGTAAAAGTGAACCGAACTCATTGATTCGGATTTAATTTGTTTTTCATTATTTGACATTTTTATTTAAGAGCTTTATTTATACAATATAAGAGATTGTGATGATATGGATCCTGTAAGTTTGGCGAGGAGAAGCTGAAATCGAGTGGATCTTAATTTGTTATAATTTGATAGCTTTTGATCTTATCGTTCACATAAAAGTGTGTGTGTCTCTCTCTCTAGTAGCATTGATGGGCATATCAACGTTTTTAATATCATCCCATTACATCGTTTGTCTTGGTCTACTGTTCACGTTAGGGCTTGACGGGACGACCCTGGCACGATTAGGCTTCTGTTATGGAAGATGTACGAAGTAAGGAATTATTTTGAAGTAGGTAACTATTATTATGATATATGGAGTATGAAACTATTAATTTATTTTCGTGGCATATGACTGATTGTGTTGTATATGTATTTTAAAAGTCGTTAGAAGTATATCCGTGAAATGCAGCGAAATACATCTCGATTATGAAGTTGAAAACTCGAACCGACGATCCTATATAATTCATGGTTCATTTTATTCGTTGTCACTCAAAATTTATTTTATGGTTTGTGTAGTTACGAGAGAACGAAAGACTTTTAGGTTGATTATCAGTTTTGAAAACAAATGAAATCTATTACAAATATTAAATAAAAAATAATAATTTTTTTATATAACGTGTTTGTCTAAAAGTTTGATTATTTTTATGATAATTTAGTTTTTTTATAAGGATGAGATAAATTTAATATAACATGGAAAATGTAACGAGTTACTAAACACCTTTAAACTTTTAAAATGGGAAAAATGGGAAAATTATAAATACTGAAAGATTTTATATGCAATATATAAAAAGTAAGGGGTCGTTTAACAAACACTTATCCGGTAAGTATTTACCGATAAATTTAACACTATAATTTATTTACCGGATAATATTTTAGTCCACCAAAACGGCATCGTATGAAAAATTTACTTGGTACGCCCTTACCGTGGTAAGAATCGTCGTCCTCACTTACCGGATAAGACTTTTGGTTCTTGTCTCGCCTTTACCGGGTAAGATTTTTTATCTTTACCATATTCATCCGGTAAGATAAAATAACTTGATGTTCATTTACCCGAGTAAGCATTTGGTAAACGATCATAAGAGTTATATTTAATTCAATAATTATGTTAATCCCTGGTCTAAACTCTAAAGCCCATATTTGGCCCAGGCCATGTAGACAATTGGCCCAAACTATGTAGACTAGTTAGAATATTGTGTATTTTTATCGGTTTAGTTGGTCAAATTGTACGGTTTGAAAAATTCTCAAATGCATCTTGCATCTTAGTTTGTTAACGGAAATGTTAGGCTGCCATACCAGACCGTGAACATCCTTGCCCCACAATGGACAAATTACGAAACTGTATAAAATTTTAGAATGTCAAAAAAGCATCTGATCGTAACAACTGTAAATACCGATATCAAGTGCCGGTTTTTCAATATAAGATTCATATATCATTTTTTTGTCGAATTAGATGTTGAATCGATTTTTAGTGTTGAATTTTATATAATCCGCATATCATTTTTTTTTTCTTTTTGACACTTACAAGACTTGTCGAAACCATGTTAATTTTTTATAGTAGTCTTCTATAAGTAAATTAATTATATGACAATTGGCAAATACAGATATGTGTGAACTTGTCGGATGTTCGTTTAAAACCCGAACAGTCCAACCCGTTTTAGCGGGGAGTCCTTGTTCGGGTTGGGTAAACCGGGTTCCCCATCGGGTTGAGACACATCACCATCCTTAGTGTAGCCCAATTACAACCAATTGCATGCGTTTTGATTGAGCATCAAGTGGTTTATGACTGGGTTGACTCGGTTTGCCATACATGTTAGATTTTTGCACAACCGTGTAAAAAACATAACATAAGAGGGTTTGCATAGTTGATATTAGCTTATGGCGATACCAAGACGTAATAAACTGATAAGTTGTTTTTCAGTGTTGACAATTTTTGCTTACATATGTAAAATGACAAAAAAATAACATTTTTTTATATTATTGACTTATTTGTTTTTTCTTTGTCATATAATAGTTTATTTTTCGTCGTTTAAAGTTATCTTTCACAAAAATCTAAAGATTAATAATTTATAACCAAAAAATATTGACTTAAATAACAAAAAGTTATACCAACGGTGTTAAGCAACAATTTAATCGTAAAATTTTACAAAGTCACGTAAACATTACAGAAACAGGAGCGATGCGATAATTAAGGGAATGATTAGCAGCAACGGGAAGACGAATCGGAGAAGCAGATACATGAGGCACTTTGTTATCGTTCTTATTATTGGCCGCCTTATTTTTCGTCCTTGATAAGCTTCTTCCAATACACAATTGTTGTCTCTCCAGGCCTGAGCTCCACCTCAAATCTTTGTCGTCCACAACAACTTGATAATGTTGAAGACAACGATGATGCGGCACCATCGACACCTCCGCCATTGCCTTCCTCCCTTAATAATCATGCAAGTAGAGTATACCTTCACATAGGGGTTGTTTGTTTTTTAATTTTCACTTAATCTCTTCTTATGTCTTAATCGGTCAGACATAAGAACTTTCATATCGTTTGTTTTTTTTTTTTCAAATTAAGAGTTGAATTCGTTTATTTTCCTCTAAATTTTTAAGTGGTAACCCTAGCACTTAAAACCTCTTATTTCTATCGCCTCCTTACGTCACTTGTCTCAGTTTACAAAAACAAACAGTCTTACTGATTCAGATTTCAGACGTAAAAACAAACAGTCTGACTGATTCAGATTTCAGACTTCAGCAACACCTCTTAAAATTCAGAAGTGAATTCAGACTTCAGACTTCAGCACCTCTTAAAAAACAAACGCCACCATAGACTTGAGATACATGCATTTAGAGTGTGTTCATGTGTGAAATTGGATTGACGTAAACCCTAGTACAGAGGATTTTGATATTTTGGTGATTGAATTTGACGATTCAACAAAACGATAAGAAATCTAATTTAAGTTATATTTATGGGTAAAAAGGTAATTTGGTTTTAAAAGTTGATAAGTTGTTTCAAATAAGTTAGAAGGAAGTAACTTATCGAACATAGCTTATTACCGGTGCCAAACTAGTATAAACATTTTATTTATATCCAAACACTAAAAACTTCTTATTACTAATACTACATCGAAATAAGTTAATAATCCATTTAAATAAGCAATCCCAAACACCCCTTAAATTAGACTTGTTAGTTTTCCCCTTTACTAGCAAAAAGTAATCATATATAGCTATCATAAAGAACAAAATAGTTATTTGATACATACACGAACAAGAAAAAAAACAAGAGTCATGATGGGCGTTAAAAACTGAGTTTTATCATAAAATGACCAATGAGATCAATCATTATTTTGAATCATAACCGGGCATAAATGATCTTTCATCTTATTTGGGCCACAACCAGTTTGGTTATAATCGAGGCTTACACTGAAATGATAAGATTGTTTTGGAACGATCAAACCTAATTGGACCTTGTATCATGCTCATGACTGGTGTCGGGGTTCGGGTATAAGGCAGTTTGTTCGTGGCTCGATGAAAAATGCCAAAATGAAGAAAATGCTCAAGAACCAATATTTACAAAAGTCTTGAAAATAAAATGAACTTTTTCATTCAAAATTCTCTAGAAATTGGATTATAAGAGTAAACCACATTTTCTGTCTTTGTGGTTTTGAAATTACGATTTTCCGTCCTCATCGTTTGCAATTTTCTTTTGTTTTCGTTATCGGGACAACCTCCGTTCGTTTTCAACCGCCAAGTCAATATATTTTGATCTTTTTATATCTTATTTAAGGGAAACATCAAGAAAAAATCCAAAGAATTTTCTCATTTTGAATGATTATTTCGAATAAATAAACCATTGAACTTTTATTTTGAATGATCAAGTAACTGAACTTTAAAAAAAATAAAATAAATCATGAAACTTTTAGAATTTGGGCACATAACATTTTCTTTATTTTTTTAACAACCAGTTAGGAATATTTTAAAGTAAAAAACCTAAATCAATTTTACCATCTCAAACCCTATAGGCCTATACCATTCAAACTCCTCACACCCAACCACGTTGCTTCCCTCTGCCACCGCTTGCGCCCCATCGTTTTCCGTTATCTATCACTGCCTATGACCCGTCGCCCCATTGCCAATGCCATCGACCTCCCTCATTTTGATCTATTTTGTTGGTTATTATATATATACATATAATATTATTAGTTAAGAGTAGTCTTTAGTAGAAAATTAAATAATCGGTTTATCCTAGAGATAAAAATAGAAAGAAATTACAAACTATAGGGACTAAAATCGTAATATAAAAACCACGAGGACGAAAATGACAATTTTGAATACATCACAGGGACGAAAAATGTAGTTTATTCTTCATTATAATTACAACCCCGTCGAAACCGAAACTTGGTTCGTTCTATATACATTTGGCGAGTGCAATGAAGTGCGTGCGAGGAGGCGAGACCTGCTTAAACGATCACGTAAATCAAGCTTAAGTTTCAGACCTCCACCTCTTCAGATCAGTAGAATCAAGCTTCTAATTGTTGAAATTCATCCCGCATACCTAATTTTGTACAGTTCTATCTTACTAGCAAGTAGAGAAGCAAAAGTTCGCAGGATTTTAGCCCTAGAAATCAGCAAGTTGAAGTAGAAAGGTTGCTTGGCGTTTGCTTGAAAATTTGATCAGAGCGAAGCTAGGGTTTTATCCAATCATGAGTCCTATACAGAATTTCGAGCAGCATTCTCGCCATCTTATGGAACCTGACCTCCGTATTCATTCTCTCTCTCTCTCTCTCTACACACACATGAACTCATATTATAGTTGTTGAAATTCTTGAACTCTTTGTGAACCCTTTATTTTGAAACATTAGTTGTGTATGTGTGTGGTGTTTTTCCGTGATCAAATGAAGCAGGGTTTCCCCCCAAAATGAAAATTTTGAGATGTCAGGTTTTATTGATGATTTTTGAGGTTTAATATCTTAGCAGTAAGAAGCTTGACTAAACTGACTTTTCCTAGCCCTAGTCTTACTAAGAGGTAGATTTGCTCTTTAGGACAATAAGCAATAAATTCTATTGGTGGTTTTGAGAACTTTATTTGTTATCAAATAGAAACTCTACAAATTTATACTTATTCCTTCATCCCCAGTGAGCCACACTTGTGAATTTTGCTCTAGTGTATAGTACCTTTTAATTTAAAAGTAATGTGGACTGCGTTATGGTTTATTATCACCAGCTTTTATTTGTAGAACTTGTTACAAAGTTTAAATTATTTATTCCTCCCATAGGTCCTCCTTGTAGGCTTATATGCAATAAAATAGGATACTGAAAGACAGTGAACCATTTACGGCGGTGGTGAGAAGGAATGTATTGCATGATTAACTAATTTTTTCATTTCACTGACCAAATGTTCACACACATGTGTGTGTATATATGTATATCTGCTCTCGTAAGGATTAAAAAGAAATTTATTTTCTTAAGTTGGAGTGTGGCTGTTGGTGGGCTGAAATTTGAAGCTTTGTGTTGTCTGGTCAATGATTATTGCTTTTCTTGTTGGTACAGCTATTCAAAATAGGCTTCAAATGGCGATGGAGGTACGGGATAGTTTAGAGATAACACACACAGGGGAGTACTTGAATTTCCTGAAGTGTTACTTCCGCCCATTTTCTGGGATTCTCTATCATATAACAAAGCCACAGTTTACCGACAACCCTGAGCATAAGCTGCGAAACATTATTATTGAGATCCTCAATCGCCTTCCTCACAGTGAAGTGCTAAGGCCTTTTGTTCAAGAGCTATTAAAAGTTGCTATGCATGTCCTTACCACTGACAACGAGGAGAATGGCTTGATTTGCATTCGCATCATATTTGATCTTTTGAGGAACTTCAGACCAACCCAAGAAACTGAAGTGCAGCCTTTCCTTGACTTTGTGTGTAAAATTTACCAGAATTTCAGACTCACAGTTAGCCATTTTTTTGAAAGTGGGGCACTTGTGGCTCCAGCAATGCCACCGCCATCATCAATGTCCGCATTACCTTCCCTTGGCAGTGAAGATGTTAAGCCCATGGAGATTTCAGATCAAGTTGGGTCTTCTGCAACGACGAGCACTGGGGCTGGGCAACTCAATCCAAGTACTAGGTCGTTCAAGATTGTCACGGAGAGTCCCTTGGTAGTTATGTTTCTTTTTCAGTTGTATAACCGGCTTGTCCAGACTAATATTCCTCAGTTGTTGCCATTGATGGTTGCGGCTATCTCAGTCCCAGGCCCTGATAAGGTTCCACCACATTTGAAGACCCATTTCACTGAGCTAAAAGGGGCTCAAGTTAAGGTAATTTTTTGGGATCATTTTTCTAAATCATCTTTAAAGCATTCCTCTCATATGCTAGTAAGTGTTTTGTGGAAATACTGAGGATACTCGATGTGCCACATCTTTTTGGTGCTAGTGGTGCTATGGGTATACACAGCTGTACTTCCATAAGCTTGTTTTGGTATATTGGAATTGGATATTCAGAAATACAAACAATCATGAATGCATGGGATACAGGCATATAGCCTAGATGATTAAATTTACTAACGAAGCTAAAATCCTGAACCAATGAGCTCTCATAATATCTTAAATACTTATCTGGATTCTTGTCCTGTTGTTGCAGACTGTCTCTTTTCTGACTTACCTTTTGAAGAGCTTTGCCGATTATATTAGGCCACATGAAGAAAGCATATGTAAAAGCATTGTGAACCTGCTTGTTACTTGTTCAGACTCCGTTTCGATTAGAAAGGTGATAGTATGACCCTATATCTGTATATCCTTGGTAATTTTTCCGCCCATGTATGTGAACTTGTATATATAATTTGCTTGATATTTGCAGGAATTGTTGATAGCATTAAAACATGTCCTTGGCACGGATTTTAAGAGGGGCTTATTTCCTCTGATTGATACACTCTTGGAAGAGAGGTAACATTATTATTAATATTCACATGGTTAGCTTGATAACTTCTTTAGCTAATTTATCTTTGCCATTGATATTCAACATTGACATTGTTCATATTGAATTGCATTCTGCCTGTCGCTTATAGAAAAATATTGATGGACTTGATAACTTGTATTTTTCTCTTGATAACTTGCATTCTTGCTCCATTCTTTGGATATAGTTCCGCACCTAATGAAGCTACTGGATTAGAACTGACCTAGACAGATAAATTGAGTTATTAATCATGATTCTTAAGATTGAAGTGAGCTATCTGGAGCATCTATTCTAGTCTCTCTGTTTATCAAAGGTTGAGATCTTTAATGATAGGAGAAATAATTTCTTGACACATAGTAATGCTAATGAGCAACTATGTACTCCATCTGTCTCGATAAGATTGCAATTTTTTACTTGACACATAGTTGTAGTAAAATTTGACTTTCATAACTAATCAAAATACCAAAATCAATACCACGAACGCATCGTAATGATGATAATGGATAAATAGGTCATTTAAGATGGAACATTTTCATGAAAAGAATGTTGCAATTTTTTAGGACACCCAGAAAGGAAGTATTGCAACTTTCATGATATATTGAGATGGAGGGTGTAATTTTAATATGAAAAGTTCCCATAAAAGGTGAAACCATACATCCGGAATCCTGGCTCTGTCCATGATCAGGACAGATGTAAAAGGATATGCTGTTTTAAATAAGGCAGTTACTTCTGATTTTATTTTGATAGTGTTTTGCATTCAATATAACGTCTGAAGCATCATTTGAGAATTTTGTGAACTATTTTAGGGTTCTCGTTGGAATTGGCCGGGCTTGTTTTGAAACACTGAGGCCATTGGCATATAGTCTCTTGGCAGAAATTGTTCATCATGTTCGGGGAGATCTCTCATTGTCACAGGTTTGGAGCTTTCTGAAAATTTCATGCCATACTTAATTATTTTTTTTACTAGGATTAGCAAATGATTTTGGCTATGGTAAGCGTTCTCATGCAAATGTCATAGATTAACTTTTACTATATCAGCAAACTCAGACCTTAAATATTAATCACAGCAATGGAAAGAACATTTTTAGGGTGCGTTTGGTACAGTGCACAGAACAGAACAAGGATCACTATTTCACCTTTGGCATGACTTTTATGTGGAACAGAGTGAAACAAAGTGGAACAGGCATGGAACAAGGTGGAACAAGCCTGTATTTTACCAAATATATCCTCAAAATAAAACCTAATTCTCTTTTAAAACATCAAATACGCCTCCACTTTACATTTTATCTATTGTATTTTATCCTGTTTTATCTTTCACTTTACTGTCCTTAAAATATTATTTTTATACGTTTTCTATGTTTTGGTTACTTTATTAAATATTAATAATAAAAGATAATATAAAAAGGTATAAAAAAAAATTGGAAATTACATAAACTTCAATATTTTGGTGTCTTTTAATCGTCTTGAAGAAAACTTTTAAAGATATATTTTGTTATAAAAATATCTATTTTATTATAGTTCAATAAATTACATAAATTAGTCAAAATATAGAAAATATATTAACAATTCATTAGGGTAAATTGGCCATTTTATTAGTCCTGTCCCGTCCCGTCCCGTCTTACCAAACGCTGAACATCTGTCCTGTTTGGCTACCAAACTCACCCTTAATGAACTAGATGGATCTATTTACCGTATTTGTAGCAACTTGGATGGAGTTTGGCCTTGTGGAGGATAAGTAAACAACATTTTAGACTCCCATAATGGGTGAGGGAAGATTCTGAGAAAAGGGAGGTTCTATATTCTTACCAGCAAATGCCTGTAATTTTTGATGAACTTTGATGTTCAATTCCAACTATGTTAGAGGGCCACAACTAGTCAACGGTCAGTGATGGTAAAGTGGTGAAAAATATGTACTTCATGCTATGAGCACCCTAACCCTAATAGTTGGTAAGTTAGCTATATAATTCACCTTGCTTAATCATGAGGATGGGTTCTATTTTTTTTCTCTAAGTAGCTATGCTTTCGGAACCTTTAAAAGAGGAAGGAAACCTGGAGATACAAATAATAATCATGGAATTACTACTAGCATTTTGGTGCTTCATTCCCCCTCAAAGGTGTCTAAATGATCGATCAGAGGTGTGACCCCTTCTGTGGGTGGGATGGCTTCATGTCTATCACAAATAGTTATAAAATGTCTCAAATATACTGCACCTTATGTTATCCCATGGGAATCTAAATTTAGCAACGTATACATGATTCTCTGGTGATGTATTACTATTGATAAACTCTGATATATGGCAGAACTTATATTAACCGTTGATTGAAACACATTTTGCATCTTTGACATATATGTACTTCTTTCCAAGAGACTGTTTTCTTTTCATTTGTTTATTGTGTAACAAGTTCTATTTCTTATTCTTATTCTTATTCTCATTCTCATTCTAATTTTATTTGTTGCTTCATGTTTTCATCAAACATAATCGTACCAATCAATATAGATTCATTTATGATCAGATGGGCTATTAGATGCTGTCTTCCTAGATTATATTTTCAACTGACATGTTTTACCATTTTGTTGCAGTTGTCACGGATTATCTACCTGTTCTCGAGTAATATGCACGACGCTTCGTTATCTCTCAGCATCCACACCACATGTGCACGGTTAATGTTGAATCTGGTACCACTCTCAGTTTAACGTGTCAACGATGTTTCATCCCCTTACTTTGTTGTGCACTCATTTTAGGTGCCAGAGATCTTGTTTGATTTCCGTTGGTTATTAATCATAAGTTTACTTCATTAACATGTCATTAGGTGGAGCCAATTTTTGAGAAAGGCGTTGATCTGCCATCCATGGATGAAGCAAGGATTTTATTGGTAAGATTTTGTATGGCTTCTTTACTTCATCTTTTTTTTTTCTTTCTGGAGTTGCAATTTCCCACAATTGGCAATTTCAAGGTAGTTGTTTTTTTATTTAAAAATAGTGATGGCTAATTATTATTTCATGTGTAGGGGCGCATATTGGATGCTTTCGTTGGAAAATTTAGCACCTTTAAGCGCAGTATTCCTCAGGTATGCTTCAGATCGCTACATTTAATTTCTATTTGTTGTTTTAGCGATATACCAGGTTACGAGTATTAAGGCAAGGACTGACTCAAGCATCTTAGTACTTTAACTTGAAACTTCGATAAGAGTGGAAATACTGAACTACCTTTCTTTAAAATATCTCGTTTGTGTTACTATGGGGGACCTTACTTGATTTGTAATTAGCTTCCTTCGATTATTAGTAAAATAAACTAAAAAGTCCATTAATAATTACTCAAATCTGATAGCATTTACAGTGAATGATCAGAATTTATCTGCTCTCTCTTGAAATGTTTTGGACGAGATATAAGGTTGTTTGATGCTGTACATTTGGTTTTGATCTCATTGACAATTGACCAGTTTGACCGCCATCAACTAAGATTCCCAACAAAGGAAATATTACATCAATTGAACAACTTTACTTTTAGGCTCTTACCGTAGGAATGGAGAATCCGGAATATCCAATGTTTCATTGCTGGCATGTCAGGGAGGGATACGTGTAGCTGAATTTTTGATGTGGCAGCTCCTTGTATTTTGAATTAACAAGAAGATGCTGTAGGCTGAATAACAGTTCAGTATGTTGCTTTCACAAGTGGAGGGGTGAGGATATAATAATTAACTTTTTCCATATGCCATTTATGGTTTCATATATCCTTCTCCAAAAACTCAAAGCACCAAGCCACCAACCACTACTTCTGTGTTGCTCCACCTCCTCCAATCGGTCCAATGCCACCACTGGTCCAGCACTGCAATCAATTTGTCCTATCTCCTTTGGAAAACCATTACTGCTTTAAAAAGGCTGGTACAAGCTGTAATATACATGCTTAATCCTCTTGTTTGTGTTGCTATTTCTCCCCACTTCCAGCAAAATTCCAATCCGACTAATAGTTTGTTGTTACTATTTCCAGCTTATCGAGTCTTGGTGAGAAACAAGATAAAATTTGTTGAAAGTTCAAACACTTCCACCCATACAATCACAATACACGTAAATAATATAGGAATGCCATCCCAATGAATCCAACCAAATAAGGGTGGCTCGTAGACAAATAATGTTAGGAAAAAAGAGTGAAAGTTCAAAGGTCGCCACACAATCATCGTGCAAGCAAATGATGATTGAATGTCTTCCCAATCAAATAAAGATAACCTGTGGACAAAATGTGCAGATACTCGAGAAAACATTAGAATGGACAAATTGAGCAGTTCACCGGATGGGAAGAGAATTTTAAAACTAAAACTGGAAAATTGGAAAAAATGGAAAAAGGTCGTGCCTATTTTGATAATTAATGGAGGTTTTATATGGTGGGATTTCCCCCCCTTAATTTGCTGCTCCAGTAAAAAAGGTGGGAAGTAGAAGAAATAATTTAAAAAGAAGCAAAAAATAATCTTGTAAGAACAAAGATATTTATAGAGGGGAATTGGACACAGGAGCTTGAGTTTTGATTTCAGTTCAGTTGGGTCTACGGATGAAGTGGAGCAGAAGTATCATGCCTAACCCGTTATGCATGACAGGCTACTTAACCTAAAATAAATGAAAATGAAAACACAATAGATGCCATGTCATGTGTGTGTGTCTGAGAAAATAGGAGGTTCATGAAGATGAGAAATGGATGGGGGTGACATTGTATTGCTTACCAAGGAGGCTGGTGCTGTGTTCGTTCTCTTTTCTTGATGTTGGGAGAGGACTGTGGTGCCACCATTGGCTTTTAGGCATGTGTTTGCCTTTAGTGCTTAAAGTCAAATATCAGGGAACAAAAATCTCAGCAAAATTTAACCATTTTTACTTCTAAATTGTGTATTTTATAAAGTCTCCATAAGTTTTCTTAAGAGAGAAAGCAGGGGGATTTGAACTCATGACCTCCAAGGTATTTAACCCACCTAGGACATAGTTGAATGGGAAAAATTTGGAATTTTCCATGTTATTTTTGGAGTTCATTTTTGATTTTGGTTTTATTTATTTACTAAAAAGGCAAATAGATGCAGCTTATTACATATCTTGCAAAGTATGTACTGTCAAATAAACAGTTTGAACTTTGGTTATTTCACATTTCTTTTCACACTTCCCCAGGGTGCTGAATGTCTTTTACTTTTGGGTTAAAAGATGAGGATCTTTCACCTGCTTTGTAGGTGGATAAATACAAGATGGAAGTGGCCATGTTTTATTGTATTCTCAGAAGTCTCTTGCTCTGTTTCTGTTGGGTGTTGAAATACTTGATGTATATTGTCTAATTTTTTGTACCACTTAGTAGTTTGTTTCTATATAGTGCTGAGGTTCCTCAATGCAGCGAATCCCCCTTTCTGCTTAGCATATCATCTCTCTCTTCTCTTCTCTCTCTCTCATGTCATTCATAAGCTCACAGATACACCCCTTGGAACCTCTATTTGTTTGTTAATTATGTATATGCTCTCTTCTTTAGCTCACATCCGATGCTGTCAAGAGTCCAACACTACAATTATGCTTCTTCCCCATTAATAACTCTTGCATCTTTCCACCGATTGTGTTCATTTTCTATGACAGCTTCTGGAGGATGGAGAGGAAGGAAAGGATCGCTCTACCTTAAAGTCAAAGCTTGAGCTGCCAGTGCAGGTTATCTCAATCAACCTAGCTTTCTTTCTAAGAATCACTAAGTTTTTCTTCTAATATGAGACATGCATTGATACAAGACACTTGGAGATTGTTTGATAATTCTAGCCTGCTCTTACCACAAATACTTCAAGTCACCACTAGATTAAGTGCCTCTGGCAAGGTAAAAGAGGCAAGTAGCTGTCACTCTAAGTAGTTAAAATATTAAAAACATTGAATCTTATTTTGTCTGTTCAATTTTCTTCAAGTCACGTGCAGCAAGGCATTTATTGACCCAATAATTTACCACAACTCCACAAGCAAGATCTTGTGTCAGTTTATCGATGTACGAATGTATTGAAAGGATAATCTGATAAAATAACTTATCACACACACAACAGTGGCATGGTCAATCTTGCCATCACCTTCACTTCATAGGATCGATAAATCCTTTGCTAAGTGGTACTTAATGTGCTTGATGAAGCCTTTAATGGAGAAGATCAGCCAGTCATTTCTGCCATTGATACAATGTATCTGGGCCCATTAGCTAAGGTAAAGAACTTGGGTAAGGACATGCATGAGGTTACCTCTCCGGATGAAAGTAGCTGCAGAGGAAGGTTTTTTTTGTGAAGTTTGGTATTACACATATGCACTTGTCAGTACATATAAAATTGCCTTCTATTCTATAGATTTTTCAAGATTGAACTATCTATTAGATTAGTGTTCCAAGGGCGAGATGAGGTACATGGCCACCATATGCTGTAAATGACCCATGTCTTGAACATGATAGAAATCAATGAATGTTCTAACATCTCATTGTTTAATTTTTGCTTTATCTCCCATCTTCTCTACTACCCCGATCCGTTTGATAACTGTATTTTCTTTTATGGCCATCCTTAATATTAGATTAAATACATCAATCCATGCCTACTACTGCATATAGTTTATATTTCAGATATCATTCATAATTAACTTGCTAAAAACCAGACCTGTGATTTGAAAAATCACCAAAATAGCATTTATAAGAAGTAACCTTGCAACTTCAGTAACAAAACTGATGGCAGCTCCAGTTTATATAATAAGACTGACCACCAACAAATGCTCTACCTCATTTGCAACCAATATCATCCATTCATACTGATTCAGAATCTTAACACAGACGCTTAAGAACACCAATACAGAGTTCCAAAGCTTGAATCATTGCGTGAGGAAGCCTCTCAAGACGGTCATATCTCTTCCTTTTGCAAATGTGATACTCTACAGCCATTACATATTGTTAAGGGTCTGCCTAGGGTTGTTAAGGAAGCCTCTCAAGACAGTCATATCTCTCTTCCTTTTACAAATGTGATCACCTACAGCCATTACATATTATTAAGGGTCTGCCTAGGGTTGATTATGAACTATCACTTGGTTAACACTAGTCTTCCAACACAGTACAAGGTTGCCAACACCCATTTCTTGTCAGCTTAAGTTTCCCTGTTTACCGATTATAGTTTGACAATTGAAAAAAAAAAGAAAAAGAAAATGGGTACATGAAAAAGGAATCAGCAAATCAAATAGGATTCTGATGCTTGGATAGCATATAATCATGGACATTGAAAATGGAATGAGAGACATACGAAGAGAAAAAGGCGCAAGGATGGAGAAGACAAAGATTATTTTATTAATGCTGTTTTATAAATACAATGTTCAAGATACATAAGGGAGACTTAATTATTTAGACATCTTAATAATTGGTACAGTTCTATTTCCCCTCTTTGTTTATTGATTCCCCCCATCCATATTATGTCTTCATGGTATGTCGAGTATGAAAATGGTGAAAATATTCAAAATCAAACTCTTCTAAGAGATAGGAACAGACGATCTTTATTCCGATGCTGCAATTGTGCTTTTGATCATGTCTTCCAAAACCCAACTCCTGCCTTTTCAGTTCTACTGCTGGGCCGCCAACTCATTTGATGCATTTTGGCAATGCAACTAGAAGACCATGCTTAAATCTTCAAATGAAATAGAATGATGTGGCAGCCAATCTTTATATTTTTTAGGTGTATCAAGTTATATAAATATGGGATTTATTGATGCATGTGCACTCATATTTGTGATAGCATGTGACACACTGAGAGCAGAGTAATGAAAATGCACACTATCACGAGAGTATTAACAATTCTTTTGGCAGGCTGTTTTAAACATTCAGGTTCCTGTGGAACATTCCAAAGAAGTCAGTGATTGTAAGCATCTGATCAAGACCTTGGTTATGGGTAATTATTTTTCTACCATTCTTTTCTTTCTCAGATTAAGTAATGTCTTGAATAATTTCCTCAATTGATGTCATATCCAGTAAATTGTAAAGGTTAGCTGTAAAACGAGAACCCTCCAGTGCTTAATATTTGTCTTGTTTAATTGCCAGGAATGAAAACAATAATATGGAGCATCACGCATGCACATCTACCCCGATCACAGGTTTGTAACTCTCTTAACTCTACCTCTGTTGTAGGTGCTGTCACATTCTATGATCTTACGTTTTCCCACTGTGTAGGTTTCACCTTCCACTCATGGGACACCTCCACAGATGCTTCCTGCAACCCCACCTAATTCATCAATAGGCCAGCCATTTAAAGGGTTGAGAGAAGAAGAGGTATCGTTCTTCTTACTTAAAAATGCTTTTACTGAATGACATAATTGGACTAACTGGAAAATGGATTTGACTAGGTATGGAGAGCTTCTGGTGTCTTGAAGAGTGGTGTGCGTTGCTTGGCTCTCTTTAGGGAGAAAGATGAGGAGAGAGAAATGATCCATCTCTTCTCCCAGATATTGGCTATCATGGAACCTCGAGATCTTATGGATATGTTCTCGTTGTGCATGCCAGAGCTTTTTGAGTGCATGATATCCAACACACAGCTTGTGCACATATTTTCTACTCTTCTTCAAGCCCCTAAGGTTTTCAGGCCGTTTGCAGATGTCTTGGTTAATTTTCTTGTAAGCAGCAAACTTGACGTTCTGAAGCATCCAGACTCGCCTGCAGCGAAACTTGTTTTACATCTTTTCCGGTTTTTATTCGGTGCTGTTGCCAAAGCTCCAGCAGATTGTGAACGTATTTTGCAGCCTCACGTGCCTGTTATTGTGGAAGCTTGCATGAAAAATGCCAGTGAAGTTGAGAGACCACTAGGTTATCTGCAACTTCTTCGAACAATGTTCCGCGCCTTGGGAGGGGGTAAATTTGAGCTTCTATTGAGAGACTTGATTCCCACACTGCAACCCTGCTTGAATATGTTGTTGGCCATGCTTGAGGGTCCAACGGCTGAAGAAATGAGAGATCTTCTGCTAGAGCTTTGTTTAACACTCCCAGCACGGTTAAGTTCATTGTTACCTCACCTTCCTCGATTGATGAAGCCACTTGTGATGTGTCTTAATGGGACCGATGAATTAGTGAGCTTAGGATTGCGAACACTTGAATTTTGGATTGATAGCTTGAATCCTGATTTTCTGGAACCAAGTATGGCCAATGTGATGTCTGAAGTGATTTTAGCATTGTGGTCTCACTTAAGGCCTGCACCCTACCCATGGGGTGGTAAATCATTACAACTCCTTGGGAAGTTGGGTGGACGTAATAGGCGCTTCCTCAAAGAGCCTCTTGCACTTGAGTGCAAGGAAAACCCAGAGCATGGACTCCGTCTGATTCTTACGTTTGAGCCTGAAACCCCGTTTCTAGTACCTCTGGATCGATGTATTAATCTTGCTATAACAGCTGTTATGAACAAGAACAATGGCATGGATGCTTTTTATCGGAAACAAGCTTTGAAGTTTCTTCGGGTATGCTTATCATCGCAGCTTGATTTACCAGGTCGTGTAACTGATGATGGGTTAATATCTAGACACTTATCAACCATTTTGGTCTCATCAGATCCATCGTGGAGAAGATCTGATGCATCCGATGTAAAGGTTGGTTTTATTACAAGTTCTATATTCATATATGCATAAAATTTTACTAATTTTTGACAGTACTCTTTGTTTGTGGAAAATTTCTTCTGGAAGTGTTGGTCTATATAAAGTTGTGTAAGAAACTTTTTTCCTGTCTTGCCAATTTATTCTTGCCTTCTGTCTTCTTCGATCATTTTACATTTTGACTTGCAATGTTAACCATATCTGAATAATCCCTGCTATATCCGTATGTGAATAATCGCTGCTATCTATGCTGTATATGTTATATAACTTCCCTGCTGGCTATACAGTATGTTGCTTGGATGTCTAATGACCCTCTACTCTCTTCTTTCCTGCTTTAATATTTCTCATGCATATAACTACTCAGTTCCTGAATCAGCTATTGGATAATGAGGACTCACTGGTTGATGCAATTGCATTCTGTTTGATATAATTCCATGTTTCATCAAATCCTGCCAATAATTTGCTTATGCAAACTGTGTGTTATTGTAAAAGTACTATCTAAATCGTATTCAGCTTAATACTGCATTGGATGACTTTTTAAATGATGGCAAGATGCTGTATGATGGGCACCACCTAAATCTATTTCTAAATTTTCATGTAAAGGTACAGGGATTTTTACATGTTATTACATTTTTTTAAACAGGTCTATAGTTTGTAATTTCCACATTTTGTGTGCATTTGCTTTTATGATTACTTGTTTCCTAGACCAGGGAATATCTTTTTTCCTAACCTATACTTCTATCTTATCTGTTTTCGTCTCTGGAAAAATTAAGTGATGTGCTTTCTTGATTAATCTTATCATTATGATTTTTTTGCTGGCACATTTTTTGCATTGCCAGCCCTTCCATTTCGATGCTTATAAATTTCTCTTGCAGACTGACTTGGGGGTCAAGACCAAAACACAACTAATGGCTGAGAAATCTGTATTCAAGATTCTTCTGATGACCATTATTGCTGCTAGTGCAGAACCTGATTTAGTTGACCCCAAGGATGAATATATTGCGAATGTTTGCCGCCATTTTGCAATCATATTTCACTTGGAAAATTCTTCTGCTAATGCTCCTGTTTCAGCCATTCCTCTCGGTGGTCCTTTGCTGTCCTCAAATACAAGTAACAGTTTGAAGCCAAGGAATGGTAGCAGTTCTAATTTGAAAGAGTTGGACCCTCTGATTTTTTTGGATGCCCTGGTGGAAGTGCTTGCAGATGAAAACAGGCTTCATGCGAAAGCGGCTCTCAATGCCTTAAATGTGTTTTCTGAAACTCTTCTATTACTAGCTCGATCCAAGCATGCTGATGTGCTCATGTCAAGAGGGGCTCCTGGTACTCCTATGATCGTCTCTAGTCCATCAATGAGTCCTGTCTATTCACCGCCTCCTAGTGTTCGAGTCCCCATCTTTGATCAGCTACTACCTCGTCTATTGCACTGCTGTTATGGAAGTACTTGGCAGGCTCAAATGGGTGGAGTTATTGGTCTTGGTGCGTTGGTGGGAAAGGTCACTGTTGAAACTTTATGTGTTTTTCAAGTACGTGTTGTACGAGGACTTGTATTTGTTCTTAAAAGACTCCCTGTATATGCTGCAAAGGAGCAGGAAGAGACAAGTCAGGTGCTCACTCAGGTGCTCCGAGTAGTGAATAATGTTGATGAAGCAAACAGTGAAGCCCGCAGGCAGAGTTTCCAAGGGGTAGTTGAATTTCTTGCTTCAGAGTTATTGAATACCAATGCAACAGTAAAAGTCAGTAAAATTGTGCAGTCCTGTTTGGCACTTTTGGCTAGTAGAACTGGCAGTGAAGTATCGGAGTTGCTTGAACCATTATACCAGACTTTGCTTCAGTCTCTTCTCATGCGCCCTCTAAGGTCAAAAAATGTCGATCAACAGGTGAAGACCGTGTTGCCTGTAATTAAACATGCCTTCTGTTCAATTGTGTTTGCTAACTCTCGTGTGTATTTATAGGTTGGGACTGTGACAGCCTTGAATTTTTGCCTTGCTTTGAGGCCCCCTCTTCTTAARTTGACTCCAGAGTTAGTCAATTTTCTTCAAGAGGCATTACAGATTGCTGAGGCTGATGAGACTGTGTGGGTCGCCAAGTTTATGAACCCAAAAGTGGCCATGTCGTTAACCAAACTCCGTACAGCTTGCATTGAACTGCTATGTACAGCAATGGCGTGGGCAGATTTTAAGACTCAAAATCATTCTGAACTACGTGCAAAGATCATTTCCATGTTTTTCAAGTCTTTGACAAGCAGGACGCCGGAGATAGTAGCCGTTGCTAAGGAGGGATTGCGACAGGTTCATTTCTTTGACTTAATATCTTAATTAAAAGAAATTAGCATCTTAATTAAAAGAAATTAGCATCTTAATTAAAAGAAAAAGACAAATAAAACCTTTGATTTTAGAACTGCACCCACACAATGTACTGAAATTTGCAGATCAATAGGGTGGTTGTTCCTGCATAAAGTTAGATTTTGTGCATATTAATAGTATTTCTAGGTCATTAGTGGTCACTAGAAGGGTACTCGCACAATGCAGCTCGATACATCTCGATTTTAATATTTGTTTTATTCTTTGTCTCTGTCCATGTTATAATACGGTCTATGTGGTTTTGAGAAAGCAATAATGTTTTTATATTTGAATAAAATATAAATTTGAAGATCTCATAAAAATTTGAAAAAAAGATATCGATATTATTACCAAATTAACCATTTGCGAGTTCTCGTTTTTTGTGTAATTTCTTTAATTCAATTTTTTATTATAATTCATTTAGGTTTAATAACGAAGTACTTTATTTTTGGTTTAATAATATAATTTTATAAAGATAATAAAAGTATTATGTTAGAACTCAATGATTATCCTAATTATATTTTAGAGTTTTTATATTTAAGATGAGATGTTTATCCTATACTTGATAATGTTTATTTGTAGTTAGTTACGCTAATTCAAACATGGAACTTTAATAAGTTGTACTTATGCACAATTTTAACTTGTATCTTGAATTTTAAGTAATATACATCAATAAACAGTATTTGGTGCATAAACAATGTTTTTTAAGAGTTTTTTTGCCAAATGCTTTGTAATATAGTATAGATGTCTAGTTGTGATCCTGAGTTGATTTAATTCAGTAAAGTTATTTTCTTGTTAATTGTTCTACATTTCAAAATCGTGTTCTATGTGGTCTATATATATACTATTAAGGAATTCACTCTCGCTTTTTGTTGGTGGTGTTGTCATTTAGGTTATTTTGCAGCAACGAATGCCCAAAGAACTTCTGCAGAGCAGCCTGAGGCCTATACTAGTTAATTTGGCACATACCAAGAATCTCAGTATGCCTCTGCTACAAGGTCTGGCTCGCCTGCTTGAACTTCTATCCAATTGGTTTAATGTGGCGTTGGGAGGCAAACTGTTGGAGCATCTAAAGAGATGGCTTGAACCTGAGAAGCTTCAACAGATTCAAAAATCTTGGAAAAGTGGTGAAGAACCAAAAATAGCAGCTGGTGGGTTATGTTTTTGATCCTGAAGATGCTCTCCTTTTAAATAAAAAGAAAAATTACTATTAATATTTAATTACGGTTCTATCAACTTTAATGCAGCGATCATCGAGCTTTTTCACTTGCTACCCAATGCGGCAGGGAAGTTCCTTGATGAACTTGTAACCTTGACTATTGATTTGGAAGCAGCCCTTCCACCTGGGCAGTTTTATAGTGAGATCAACAGTCCTTATCGTCTCCCACTGACAAAGTTCTTAAATCGTTATCCACAAGCTGCTGTCGATTATTTTCTTGCTAGATTATGTGAACCAAAATATTTTCGGCGGTATGATTCCTATAGAATTACTTGTTTATCGTTGAACTGGAACTCCATTCTGTAAATTATCATCTAACATGATCTTTTGAGCGTGATCCAGGTTAATGTACATCATACGCTCAGATGCTGGTCAACCCTTGAGAGAAGAGCTTGCAAAGTCACCAGAGAAGATACTCTCGAGTGCCTTCCCCGAGTTCATTCCAAAAGCTGAAACATCAACGGCCCAGGGGTCTTTAGAAACTCCTTCATTAGGGGGTGATGACAACACTCTACCTCAATCTAACCCCCCTGCCCCAAGTGTGTTGCCAGATGCTTATTTCCAGGGTCTCGCACTTATAAAAACGTTGGTCAAACTCATGCCTGTATGGTTGCAGTCTAACCGCACTGTTTTTGATTCATTGGTTCTTTTGTGGAAGTCCCCTGCAAGGATATCTCGTCTGCAGAATAAACAGGAACAGAGTCTGGTGCAAGTAAGTATGATAGGCATCTTGGAAATACAGATATAGTTCTTACTGACATGGAATCAACTATTTTGTTTATTTGAACTTCATTTGACGACTTGTTGTTAAATCTACATGATAAGCGAACATGCTTTTACCACATCACTGCTAAGGTTGAGCATATGCATTTTCTTGCAGTAATTTGATTAAAATGCTTTATTAGCTTCTTCATGGAAGATGGGCTGTTGTGTTGATTGAGTTTCAGGAAATTAGCTTTATTGTGTATCAGCTCATTTGTCGATTTGACGTTAAATCTACATCATAAGCGAAAATGCTTTTACCACATGACTGCTAAGGTTGAGCATGTGCATCTTCTTGCAGTAATTTGATTAAAATGCTTTATTACCTTCTTCATGGAAGATGGGTCATTGTGTTAATTAGGGGCTGTTTACCTAAATGCTTACCCGGTAAGTGCTTACCATTAGAAGCCAACACTATAATTTATTTTTTGGTTAAGATTGTAGTATATCAAAATGGTATCGTATGCAACAATATATCTGGTAAGCGCTTACCCGGGTAAGAGTCGTCAGCCTCACTTACCGGGTAAGACTCTCTATACTTATCATCACTCTTACCAGGTAAGATTCTTGGGCCTTGCCATGTTCGTCCGGTGAGGAAAATTGCCCGGTAAGCACCTACCGAGTAAGTGTTTAGGAAACAGCCCCTAAGTTTCAGGAAATTAGCTTTCTTGTACATCAGCTCATGAACTATGTTGAATAATTATTTATGAAATGAAAAGAATGTAAGATGCAATCTGAAGATCCTCTCTTGGTGGAGCTTTTACATTCACAACCAGTGTGTGGCATTTCCTTCTGAACCCTAAACTTTTCTATCGCCACCCCCCTACAAACACACACACTATAGAAAGAAAATCTATTGGTTATAAAGCGTTTAGTGACTTTTTACATTTGCTACTTACTGAAAACAAACTTCTACCTTGTTTTCTATTTGTCATATGATGTGAGATTCTGATTTCTCCATCATCACAAATGCAGGTGAAAGAAAGCAAATGGCTGGTTAAATGCTTCCTGAACTATTTACGCCATGATAAATCTGAAGTCAATGTGCTGTTTGAAATCCTCTCTATCTTCTTATATCATACGCGCATTGATTTTACCTTTCTGAAGGAGTTTTACATAATTGAGGTATGCTTGTCTTGGAAGAGGATGCTTGCATATGCAACTTCAGTATGGCTTCCAAGTTCCAACAAAAAACAAAGGTTTATGTTTGTAACTTGTTGAGTCTAATTGTGTCCTTCTCATTTAGGTGGCTGAGGGCTATCCACCCAATATGAAGAAAACCCTCCTTTTGCACTTTTTAAACATCTTCCAATCAAAACAAATGGGTCATGATCACTTGGTGGTCATCATGCAAATGCTGATTCTTCCAATGCTGGCTCATGCATTTCAGAATGAGCAAACGTGGGAGGTTATAGATACTGCTATCATAAAAACAATTGTTGACAAGCTTCTGGACCCTCCTGAAGAGGTTAATTTTGGGCACCTATTTTTCTTTTGTGCATTACCCCTGATAAGTTTTGTCTATGTTCTTAAATTTCTGATACGAATAATGGATACCTGAAATTGATAAGGTCTTCATGCTTATTCTTTTATCTTGCATAGGTCTCTGCTGATTATGATGAGCCGCTGAGGATAGAGCTATTACAACTTGCTACTCTACTTCTCAAGTATCTCCAGACTGACCTTGTTCATCATAGAAAGGAACTAATAAAATTTGGGTGGAATCACCTCAAACGTGAAGACAGTGCTAGTAAGCAGTGGGCCTTTGTCAATGTATGCCACTTCTTGGAGGCCTATCAAGCTCCAGAAAAGATCATACTGCAGGTACATTATGAATAGGCAAACACATGTTGGATAAAATTAAGTATTCTCATTTTTAATCAGTTCTTGCTGTAAATAAATCATTCGATTTCTGTAACAGGACTGATCCTAGTATTGCATTTATACTCTTCGTAGGAGTGAATAATTTGACTTGTCACTTAAATATTAAAATTTATGTTCATGATATGTAACCAGAAGATGAATAAAAATTCTGAAGGAGCTGAAATCAAATAGTTTTCTAGTGCACCCAGAAATAGTGTGGAAAAGAGACTTTTGTTTTTCTACAAGTCTCACCTTTTAATTATTGGTATATGTTACAAGTAAAACTAACAGTATTTAATTCTTGAAGTAGGACAATCATGTTAAGACATCCAATACAATGTGGGTTACAACTATTTAGGAACTAACGAGATATGTTTTCAAATTTTTATATTGTTTGAATTTTCATGGAGGTTGACAAAGCAACTCCTTTTTTATGGTGTAAGAAGATTTTTTTTTCTATCATTGGCAAGATGTTGCACCATATGAAACCACATCTCAAGCAACTGAAACCATGTTGGTTGGAATTGCCGATTATTTTGTCTACTTTTCTATCACCATATGAAACCACATCTCAAGTAAGTGAAACCATGTTGGTTGGAATTGCCGAGTATTTTGTCTACTTTTCTATCACCTCGAATATTCCTTAAGCTAGTGGTTGGTATCTTATAACATGAATCGAAGCAAGGCTGATTTGTAATTAAGTTTCTTGAATAACGGATTGGTAGATTTTGGATGCGTATGTTACATATATGAACAATTAAATATTCATGAATTGCTGCATATTATTCTTTATTGGTGATCTATTGAATTGTCTTTAGGATAACACTATCCCCTATTGTGATAAAGGTAATATATTAGGCGAGGATCTTTGTGAACAGATGGTAAGTACGAGAGATCCTTTGGATTGGCCTTCAACTTTAATCAAGTTAAGACATATTCTTATGCTGATCCATTGTATTTGACCTCCACAATAACCAAAGATATCCTCATCTGCCTGTTGTCTAGCACATGCTTACAATCTTCAACTTCTCTACTACTATGCTGAAGTTGCACTTGATGTATTCTTCAGTATGGCTTGTTGTATTACTGTTTAATTCAGAAGTTGCTTTTCATGGATATAGTGGCTTTTTTGACCTACATCACATTGGCAACTTACTGATACAAAAGCAAATTTTGCAGGTGTTCGTTGCCCTTCTCCGGACTTGCCAGCCAGAGAACAAAATGTTGGTCAAGCAAGCCCTTGACATATTAATGCCTGCACTTCCCCGAAGATTACCACTTGGTGACAATTCCCGTATGCCAATTTGGATACGCTACACGAAAAAGATTCTTGTTGAGGAAGGACATTCAATTCCCAATCTCATTCACATTTTTCAGCTCATTGTTCGTCATTCAGATCTTTTCTACAGTTGTAGGGCCCAGTTTGTACCTCAGATGGTTAATTCTCTCAGTCGCCTTGGCTTACCGTATAATACTACTTCAGAGAACCGGCGTCTCGCAATTGAACTTGCTGGGTTGGTTGTCAACTGGGAGAGACAAAGACAAAATGAGATGAAAACAGTCAATGATGGTGAAGGCGCTAGTCAGAATAATGATGGATCAAATCATGGCTCCACAGGTGTGGACAGTAAACGTTCAACGGATGGACCTACATTTTCTGAAGATCCAACAAAGCGATTAAAGGTTGAACCTGGTCTTCAACCTCTTGGTGTCATGTCACCTGGTGGTGCCTCTTCAATTCCAAATATAGAAACACCAGGATCTACCGGGCAACCAGATGAGGAGTTTAAGCCCAATGCTGCAATGGAGGAAATGATAATCAATTTTTTGATAAGAGTAAGTGTTTATTTTATATAATATAAACTTCGAGAAAATGCATTCCAGGATTATGTGGCAGTTGATTCGGATATGCCATTAGGTAAGGCTATGCATAGCTAGAAATCAATGCACACTTCCAGTTTTCACTGGTTTATATGACCATAATCTTTATATTATCTGCACAGTAGCATTTTTCCAATGCTTCCTTACTTTACTGTATGTCATTTATTTTTACTTATTAATGGGATTTCATTTTCTTCTTTCCCCTTACCAGTAGTAAGAGGTTTCAGAAATAATACCATTGTTTTGCACAAGCCTATTCCCTTATAATATTCAATAGCCCCTTTCCAAGTCCCTCGTCTTCTCTGATGGCCGCGTTCCCTTCCTTTCGGGAGAGTGTAAACAGATCTGTTTTTAAATAATTAAACCCGGGTGCTCTTTTTATTAACAGGTAGCGTTGGTGATAGAGCCAAAGGACAAGGAAGCAAGTCTCATGTATAAGCAAGCTCTAGAGCTCCTATCGCAAGCTTTGGAGGTGTGGCCAAGTGCTAATGTTAAATTCAATTATTTAGAGAAGCTTCTAAGCAGCATTCCGCCTACACAGTCGAAGGACCCATCCACAGCTCTGGCGCAGGGTTTGGATGTGATGAATAAAGTGTTGGAGAAACAACCACATTTATTCATCCGTAATAATATCATTCATATTTCTCAAGTATGTATCTTCATACAAGCTTTTTGCCGTCCACTAGATTTGTGTTTAAAAAAGTCTAATTGTATTAATTAATAATACTATGCAGATCCTTGAGCCCTGTTTCAAGTATAAAATGTTAGATGCTGGAAAGTCATTGTGTTCTTTGTTGAAGATGGTTTTTGTTGCTTTCCCTTCAGAAGCTACTAGTACCCCACAGGATGTGAAGGCGTTGTACCAAAAAGTTGAGGAGCTTATACAGAAGCACCTTGCTTCTGTTGCAGCTCCTCAGGCAGCTGGCGAAGATAACTCTGCTTCTATGATTAGTTTTGTACTGTATATCATACAAACCCTAGCAGAAGTGCAAAAGAATGCTATTGATCCTTTCAATTTGGTTCGAGTTCTTCAACGTCTAGCACGTGATTTGGCATCTGCACCTGGGTCTTATGCGAGACAAGTATGGCTTTGGTTTCCTATACTGTACTTTACTCTTATCATTGCCATGGGATATTTCTACTTTGTGTATGATTCAGAACTTTAACATGCCAAATTTTTAGTACATGCATATTAAAGCTTGAAATGTGCCAAAATGTTGCTTAATATTGCTATTATGATTAGAACCAGTCTTGTTGATGGTATATGTCTCAGATTTAATCTTTTCTCAGGTTTACTTGTATGGTTTTATCTTTCTTCTCTTAGAAGTATGGATATGGGGAAACTCAGCATCAACCATCTGTATTCTGTCCAAGTTTGTGGCTGCCTATATGATGAATTATATATTTACATTGTTCTTGATTCCGATGGTAAATGGAATCTGGTTCATTCAATTACTTAGGCTAACAACCTGCACTTCAAGTTGTAGATATGTTCCCACATAGGAGCCAAGCATTCGACACTATGTTTAAACTTAGTTTTCTTGTTTCAGAAGGTGCTGTATGGATTCTGTCATGCACATCATTCACTATTTTGAAGGCTGTTTCACCTCGATGCAGATCATTTTTCAAACTTTAGTCACAGATACCTGTCATGTGTTTTGTGCTTTCATTTACTCTTTTTCCCTGTCGTTTTTCTGAAAAATTTGCCTAGTTCTCAAGCATTTTATTACGTGATCAATATAGGGCCAAAGAACAGACCCAGATTCTGCAGTTAGCTCTTCTCGTCAAGGTGCTGATGTTGGAGTGGTCATTGCCAATCTTAAATCAGTCTTGAAACTCATCGGCGAGAGGGTCATGCTTGTGCCTGACTTCAAAAAGACCATAACGCAGATTCTAAATTCCTTGCTCTCTGAGAAAGGAACTGATCATTCTGTGCTTCTCTGCATCCTTGATGTAATAAAGGGATGGATTGACAAAGATTTTGGTATGCCTGGAATGACTACCACTTCTGTATCTTTTCTTACCCCAAAAGAAGTGGTATCTTTCCTTCAGAAGCTTTCTCAAGTGGATAAGCAGAACTTTTCCCCAAGTTCTCTTGAGGAGTGGGATAGGAAATATCTTGAGCTACTCTATGGGCTTTGTGCGGATGCAAATAAGTAAGTATGAAAGGTTTAATTATATATGAAATCATGGTAAAGCCATCTAAGTTTACATCTTCATTGACTCACAGGTATCCGTTGTCCTTGCGCCAAGAAGTGTTTCAGAAGGTAGAGAGGCAATATTTACTAGGTTTAAGAGCAAAGGATCCTGAAATGAGGATGAAATTTTTCTCCCTTTATCACGAATCTCTTCAGAAAACACTGTTCACAAGGTTGCAATACATTATTCAAGTTCAGGACTGGGAGGCTTTGAGTGATGTCTTCTGGCTGAAACAAGGCCTTGATCTTCTTCTTGCCATCTTAGTCGAGAATAAACCTATCACACTACCTCCAAATTCTGCCAAGGTTACTTCTCTTCTGGCTGCAGGTTCTCTTCCTGAACTTTCTGGAGCGCAACCTATGATTACTGATGCATCTGAGGCGTCAGAAGATACTCCATTAACTGTTGATGCCCTTGTTTCAAAGCATGCCAAGTTTATGAGTGAGATGAGCCGGCTTCAGGTATCGGGTCCTCACAATTAGCAATATTTTGACCTGTCATTCGTTTATATATATATATATGTATGTATGTGTGTGTTATTTTTGCATTGTGTTTAGCTTCTTTTACTCTGTTGCAGGTTGGTGATCTGGTGATTCCACTGAGAGAGCTAGCTCATACAGATGCAAATGTTGCATATCATTTGTGGGTGTTGGTATTTCCCATTGTCTGGGTGACCTTATGCAAGGATGAGCAAGTAAAACTTGCTAAGCCAATAATCTCGCTCTTGTCAAAAGATTACCACAAGAAGCAGCAGGGTAACAGACCAAATGTGGTGCAAGCTCTTTTAGAAGGACTCCAGTTAAGCCACCCTCAACCTCGAATGCCTAGTGAACTCATCAAATATATCGGTAAGACTTACAATGCATGGCACATTGCACTAAATCTTCTGGAAAGTCATGTGATGCTGTTTTTGAATGAAACAAAGTGCTCCGAGTCTCTTGCTGAACTTTACCGTTTGCTGAATGAGGAAGACATGAGGTATGGCTTGTGGAAGAAACGATCAATTACCGCTGAAACAAGGGTTGGGCTATCACTTGTTCAGCATGGTTACTGGCAGAGGGCTCAAAGTCTTTTTTACCAAGCCATGGTTAAGGCAACCCAAGGCACTTACAATAACACTGTACCGAAGGCCGAGATGTGTCTTTGGGAGGAACAATGGCTGTATTGTGCCAGTCAACTCAGTCAATGGGACGTGTTGGCAGAATTTGGTAAACTTGTTGATAATTATGAAATTTTACTTGATAGTCTCTGGAAACAACCAGATTGGGCATTTTTGAAAGATCATGTAATTCCAAAGGCTCAAGTTGAAGAAACTCCAAAGCTTCGTATAATCCAAGCATATTTTTCTTTACATGAGAAAAATACCAATGGTGTTGGCGATGCTGAAAATATTGTAGGCAAGGGTGTTGACCTTGCTTTGGAGCAGTGGTGGCAGTTGCCCGAGATGTCTATTCATGCCAGAATCCCTCTTTTGCAACAATTCCAGCAACTAGTTGAGGTTCAAGAATCAGCCCGAGTTATAGTAGATATTGCCAATGGAAACAAACTATCTGGAAATGCTTCTGTCGGTGTACATGGTGGTCTATATGCTGATCTAAAAGACATCCTTGAAACCTGGAGACTCAGAACTCCAAATGAATGGGATAATTTGTCTGTTTGGTACGACTTGCTTCAGTGGAGGAATGAAATGTATAATGCAGTGATTGATGCCTTTAAAGATTTTGCGAACACAAATTCTCAACTTCATCACCTTGGTTACCGTGACAAAGCATGGAATGTCAACAAACTTGCCCACATTGCCCGCAAGCAGGGTCTTCATGATGTTTGTGTATCTGTTCTGGAAAAAATGTATGGACACTCTACGATGGAGGTGCAGGTATAATGACTTATAATTTATTCTCTTAGTTTTTGTTTCTTGTTACACCAACACATTTAACTCACATGCTTTCTTTGTGTATCTTTGCAGGAGGCCTTTGTTAAGATAAGGGAGCAAGCAAAGGCATATCTAGAAATGAAGGGAGAGCTTACAAGTGGTCTCAATTTGATTAATAGTACTAATCTGGAATACTTTCCTGTCAAACACAAAGCAGAAATTTGTCGTATTAAAGGGGATTTCTTGTTGAAGCTACATGATTGTGAAGGAGCCAATCTTTCGTATTCAAATGCCATCAGCCTTTTTAAGAACCTGCCTAAAGGGTGGATAAGCTGGGGAAATTACTGTGACATGGTATGCATTTATTTATTGGGAAATTGAAGGAAATAGCCATTTTCAGGGACCAAATTCATCTCTTAGCCATTTCTCACCGGAAATTTACAAAATATCACTACCTTCGCAAGTGGCAGGAGCTAAAAGACAAAAAAAAATACTTTTTACCCAGGTCCGCGAGTGACACCTCCGCAAGTGGGTGAAAATGAATGTTCTTTTTTGTCTTTTAGCTCCTCTGCGAGTTGCCGAGGTGCCACTTGTGGAGGTAGTGATAGTTTTGAACATTCCAAAGAAAAATGGCCAAGGGGCGAATTTGACCCCTGAAAATGGCTATTTCTATTAATTTTATTTATTGATTTCATGCGGTACTGCCTATCTTTATAATTCATACATCAACTGTTGTAATATCTCATTGCAACAGGCTTTCAAAGAGACACATGACGAGATTTGGTTAGAGTATGCTGTGAGCTGTTTTCTTCAAGGCATCAAATTTGGCATTCCCAATTCTAGAAGCCATCTAGCTCGTGTTCTATACCTTCTCAGCTTTGACACTCCCAATGAGCCTGTTGGAAGAGCATTTGACAAGTATGTTGATCAAATACCTCATTGGGTCTGGCTTTCTTGGATTCCCCAACTCTTACTCTCTTTGCAAAGGTCTGAAGCCCCACATTGCAAACTTGTTCTGCTGAAAGTTGCAACTGTATATCCACAGGTGAAATATTATATCTCTTCTTCTGGAACTCAATATTGTTTTGTCTAGCCTTTCATTTGGTATCGGATGGATTAAACTAGTTTTTAACTTTTAGGCATTGTATTACTGGCTGCGCACATATCTGCTCGAGCGGCGTGATGTCGCTAATAAATCTGAATTCGGTAGAATGGCAATGGCTCAGCAAAGGATGCAGCAAAACATGGCTGGAGGCTCTGGTTCTGCTGGCCTGGCTGATGGGAATACCAGGCAGGGTGGAGGTTCTTCAGCCTCGGACAATCAGATCCATCAAGGAAGTCAGTCAGTGGGTGCTGTTGGATCCCATGGTGGAGGCAGCTCTCAGGGTCAAGAGCCTGAAAGGTCCACAGTTGCTGAAGGCAGTGTGCTTGGGGGGAATGAACAACAGTTGCAACAGAATCCTTCTTCCGTTAGTGATGGTGGTCAGAATGCTATAAGGCGTAACTATGCTATGGGTTTGGTTGCTTCTGCTGCTAGTGCTTTCGATGCTGCCAAAGATATAATGGAGGCACTTAGAAGCAAACACACAAACTTGGCTAGTGAACTCGAGGTAACTAGTTTGAGCATTGCTCGGTTCACATTGTATACTGCTCATAAGTTGCCTTGCTTTTTCTCATTAAACAGTTAATTAACTTTTGGTAAATCATGTTTATTCTTTCCCAGTAAAAGAGAAGAAATCTTTTTATTTGAATTTGCTATCCTTCTTTAAAGCTATACAAGGTTGAATAAAGGCAGTCTTTTCGATCTGTTTTAACCCGATATTAAAGGAGTTCCCCATTTTGCCAGAGTTTGCTCACGGAGATAGGTTCAAGGTTTGTGACCCTACCAGAAGAGCGACTATTGGCTGTGGTTAATGCGCTGCTCCACCGATGTTACAAGTATCCTACTGCCACAACTGCAGAGGTTCCCCAGTCTCTTAAGAAGGAGCTTTCCGGTGTTTGCAGGGCCTGTTTTTCAGCAGATGCTGTTAACAAGCATGTTGAATTTGTCAGAGAGTACAAGCAGGATTTTGAACGTGATCTTGATCCAGAGAGCACTTCTACTTTCCCAGCCACCCTATCTGATCTGACTGAAAGACTGAAGCACTGGAAAAACATTCTTCAGAGCAATGTGGAGGATCGGTTCCCAGCTGTATTGAAACTTGAGGAAGAAAGCAGGGTATTGCGTGACTTCCATGTCGTCGAGGTGGAGGTTCCAGGACAATACTTCACTGATCAAGTAAGTTAAAATTTGACTTCGACATCCATTCTCCATTATGTTCGGCTTAATGATTTCAGAAGGCCATGTTTAGACCCTGAATCTGTTGGTTACTAGAATATAATGGAACTATGACAGATGTAGAGATAATCTTCTAGATCTAAACTTCCTGCTACAAAATAACCGTGTATTCATCCTTGAATGAGGAAGGATTCACACGATCTTACCTTCATGGACAAGTGTGTGGGAAAAAAACAGAGAGACAAGAAAAGTGAGTTAGGAGCAATCAACATAGTAGTTACAAAAAACCGGAAAGGTAGGAAAAACCACATACCCCTAGTCCAACTTGGGGATCTAGTACCCCAACTGGTGGCTCATGAATCCTACCCCCTCGACCACTCCAACTCTCATCTACATTGCCCGGGTCCTGTAGCTAACCAAGCAGCTCTAAAAGCATAGAAATATTAATTGCTCTGCTTTTGAGTTAGTTTGGGAGTATGTGAAATTGGTCGATGCTACAAACTTGATCAGATTGAGACTTATATATTGACATTACCTGCACTTGTATTCTTACTTGACCATTATTAACAATTTATTTCTACAGGAAGTTGCACCTGATCATACCGTGAAGCTAGACAGGGTAGGGGCTGATATTCCAATTGTGCGTAGGCATGGAAGCAGTTTCCGTCGTTTGACTCTCATAGGCTCCGATGGTTCCCAACGCCATTTTATTGTTCAGACATCTTTGACCCCAAATGCCAGGAGCGATGAACGAATATTACAACTTTTCCGTGTGATGAACCGGATGTTTGATAAGCACAAGGAATCAAGACGCCGCCACATAAACATTCATACACCAATTATCATCCCTGTTTGGTCTCAGGTATGAGATGTATAAAAGATATATTGCTTCTTTTAGTGCTGATCCTGATCCTCTTTTATGCATCTGTTTCCTATACATACGTATATACATATACATACACATGCACGTATATATATATATATATATCTAGATATAGATATAGTTTCTATTTGCTATATGTACATCAGAAGCTGTTTTTATGAGATCTCAAACTGTAAACTGATACATATGGCCACTCTCCAGGTGCGGATGGTAGAAGATGACTTAACATACAGTACCTTTCTGGAGGTATACGAGAACCATTGTTCAAGAAACAATAAAGAGGCTGACCAACCGATTGCCTATTTTAAGGAGCAACTGAACCAAGCAATCTCGGGCCAAATATCACCAGAAGCTGTAGTAGATCTTCGTCTCCAAGCTTACAACTACATTACAAAAGATTACGTGTTTGACAATATATTCTCTCAGTACATGTACAAAACATTGCTGAGTGGAAACCATATGTGGGCTTTCAAGAAGCAGTTTGCCATCCAGTTGGCCCTCTCAAGTTTCACATCTTTCATGCTACAAATAGGGGGCCGGTCCCCTAACAAAATACTGTTTGCCAAGAACACCGGGAAGATATTTCAAACAGATTTCCATCCAGCATACGATGCCAATGGTATGATCGAGTTCAACGAACCAGTGCCTTTCCGGTTGACAAGAAACTTGCAGGCGTTTTTCTCTCATTTTGGTGTCGAAGGCCTCATTGTGTCTGCCATGTGTGCAGCAGCACAAGCTGTTGTTTCCCCCAAGGTGAGTTGTACCCCTCCCCCTTGACTTCGTTTATCATTAAGGGCATTTTAGACATTTCACTGATGGTCAAACATTTTGTGGATTTCAGCAAAGTCAACATCTGTGGCATCATTTAGCTATGTTTTTCCGGGATGAACTGTTATCCTGGTCATGGAGGCGGCCGCTTGGAATGCCATTGGCGCCGGTGGTTGGTGGGGGGAGCTTGAACCCTGTTGAGTTCAGACAAAAGATCACAACGAACGTAGAACAAGTGATTGGGCGGATCAATGGAATCGCCCCCCAGTTCGTATCAGAAGAGGTATGTACTAGTACTAGTAATATATGAAAGATTTTGAATATGAGTTTGAATATTGATGATGGTATTATTGAAAATATAGGAGGAGAATTCGGTGGATCCACCGCAGTCGGTGCAACGAGGTGTAACGGAACTTGTCGAAGCTGCTCTAACTCCAAGAAACTTATGCATGATGGACCCAACATGGCATCCATGGTTTTGAATTAGAGAAGACCATAGATGGATAGATAGATAAAGATAGGTGGTATGTGATGTATAGATAAAAAGGTAGAAGAAGTTTGGAGGTTGGAGTGAGTTGTGCATATGATGATGTTAGAGGGAAGGAAGTAAGATTAGATGATGGATGATGGATGGTGGATGATGGTTAAGTGGAAAGTGAACATAAAACAGTTATGAATTGATGATACCATTTCCCTTCCCCTTAATGTATGCTTCACATTTGCCTTTTCCATTTTCCTTTCTCATCATCATCATCATCTATTTATTTTTATAATTTACAAGATTTGGTTTTATACTTGATATAACAAGTTTGCTAAAGTAACAATGTATTAGTCATTTGGATTTAACGATACCCAGTGCAAGACCAAAAGGTTTTTGGCCTAGCGGTATGTGAGTCATTGGCCTCCTAGGAGGTCAAGGGCTTAAAACCTCACCAAAGATAAGAAGAGTGTGTGAGTTTATTTGTTTTATTTGTCGTATATTATTTCTATTTTACTTTGTCTTTTAAGTGTCTACTTTTAAAAGTGAATATTTTTCTTATTCTGCCCTTAATTATAAGATGAAGATGATTTCTTTCTTTATTATTAAAGGTAAAATTGTCTTGAACTAAAAAGTATAATAAGTATACATTCTTAAAATTGTGTCATTTTCATCGTAGACAATTAATTTTAGGATAGAGGGAGTATAATTTAAGTTAACCAATTGACAACTTTACCCTTCTCTGTCTTCATATATTTCAAAATATTTGTACATTTATTAAAGGCAGATTTAAGATTTTAGTTATATATATAAAACTTAGATACTTATTTTAGAACAAACATAAATAAAAATATGGATATTAGTTTTAAGACGGGTTGAAACTGAGTATTATTTTAATAAGTCAATTTGGTAGGTTTTTGGAACCTAAGTGCTGGTCTTGGTTCAGAAAGGTCCCAAGTTGTTCTATTTAAGATAATTTTTGATATATCTTACTCTTATAATTCTATTTTATTTATGCTTTTTTGCTTATTATCAATTTGAACTTTTAAGCTTAACTATATCTTATATTATAATTATTTGCTTTAAAACAATTCACTTTTATTTACTCAAATCGTAATAATTTAATTAAAACAAAATTAAATAAAGTCGATCAGGAACCGGGATGCCATTCTTGGGAACAAATAAGAAGAGGAAGAGATATTGAATCGTCGCCTTAGCAAGGAAGCAGACAAAGACGGATACATTTGAAGGAAAGGGGGCGATGATCAAATTCTTGGGAATATAAACTCTCTCAAATGAAATGGTTAGCGTTAATAACTTATACATTATTTATAGACAATTGTAATTAAGAGATTTCAAGACTTACGCATAAATTAGCAATATGCATTTGTATTCATGGTCAAAAACATTATGTAAAAGGGTATGACGCCACCTTCTGAAACGCCTTCACTATACCAGTCTCACACTCATCATAAAAAGGTAAATCACATATCCTTTGAACATGTGTGTGGTGCCTATAGGTGGACCATATAACTCTTACATACTGCAAGATGATTCACTTTCTTATCTGGTAGGATAAAGACTGAGGCATAGCCAAAAAAATTATCTACAGATATCTAAAAACAGTATAAAAAGTTCATGATTTCAATATTGAAAACATCATTTTATATAGGTGTTTATGTACAATATGATTATATCCATATTTATACAAACAAATATGACAAATATGTAGATAGATACTAGAAGGGTACTCGCACAATGCAACGAGATATATTTCGATTTTAATGTTTCATTTTTTTTAAGTTTTGAATAAAATATAAATATGAAAATATCATAAAAAATGAAAAAAATATATTGATATTAGTAAGAACTAACTACTTAAAATTTCTCTTTTTTTCTTCTTCTGTATTTCTTTAATTTATTTTTATTTTTGGTTTAATAATATAACTTTTTATAAAGATAATAATTAAATATTTTATTAGAACTCAATGATTATCCTAATTATATTTTAGATTTTTTATATTTAAAATGAGATTCTTATCACTATTTGTTTATATTTATTTGCAATTAGTTACACGAATTCAAATATGGAGGTTTAATAAGTTGTACTTATGCATAATTTATTTGTAATTTTGAATTTTAAGTAATATGCATCAATAAACAGTATTTCATACATAAAAAATAGTTTTTAAGAATTTTTGTAATATAGTATAGATATAAACAAGGAAATCCATTTCAAGATGCATGAAAATTATGTGCGTTTATTTTTTCTTTGGTTTTAGTGTGTAAAAAAAATTAAATTTGGAATGATTTGGGCTAACGGGTGGGCCCATGAAACACCTTGTTAGCCCAACGTATGAATGCTTATTGGGCCTTAAAGCCCAATAGAATCAGAAAGTGTGAATCGCATTGACACGATGGCATTAGCGTCAAAATAAAGGTTCAAAAATGGCGATTTCTACTCTCACTTCGATCGTCTCGTCGTCGGCCGTTCGTCGCCGATTGCCGATAGTTGGTGCTTTTTGTATACTAAGTTTAGGGTTCCACAATCTTCACTCTTCAGCTTCTCTCTCCTTCAATCCCCTAACTCGGTACACTTGTCTGTGTTCCCTTAATTTCTAGGGTTCTTGTCAGCCTTAATTTGCTTTAATATCTGTAGTTTGAAGTTTATTGAACTTTTATTTGTTTTAGGCTGAGTTTCGGTAGCAAAACGCACGGATTTCATAGTAGTAGTATAAGAATGGAAGCATCAAATCAGAAGACCGTGCCAAGCATTGTTGTTTACGTGACTGTACCAAACAAAGAGGCAGGTTTGTCGCGAATGATTCAACTCTCTTGTTATACGTAGGAGCATAAAATTTGAATTGTTGTTCGTTGCCAAGTTGACGTTTGGGATGAAACTGATCAATTTATCTTTACCGTTACGAATTTTTTATTACTTAAGGTTTTCTATTGGCCTCCAACACCAAAATGTTAGGACCCCCAACTATGATAATTAATTTTAATCAGTGGAATCTCACTCTCTTCACTCTCAATCGACCGACCTAGCACCTCACTCTCGGATCTCTATCGACCATCAAACAGCCAACGACAAACAGTAACCCAGCAGCCCACCGCCTCAGTTTAATTTCTTCGGCCGGCGACCTCACATTTTGAAATCGACTTCTTCTCCTCCATCTCACTTCTTAGCTTTGGGTAAAACACAAAAACAATTAGTGCTTTCCTTTCTAATTTGGATTTTAATTTATGAATGAATCTGATCAAGTGATTTTTTTATTTAATTGGTTTTTGTTGATTTTTTATTTTGTTGGCTTGTTGCTATTGGTAAATTGTATTAATTGGTAAACGATAATATATCTTGGTAACTGGTAAACCATTGATATATTGATTTTTATATTGCTAGAAGAAATGGAAAAATTCTTTAAAAGAAACATTACAACACCAGCATCTAGCTGTGGTCCTTTGATGCCTAGTGAAACTGATTTGAATGAACTTCCTTATCCTATAGGAAAAAGAAACTTAGGAGTATCATCCTAAAGGTGAAATAAGGAGAAAATTTGATTAGAGGACCTTGCCAACAAATGACTTTCCAAGAAAATATGTAAGGGTAAGGGCAGACGTTTTTGTCCGGCTTGGCTTGATCAACACGCTAATTGTGCCCCCACCACTAGTCATTTCTGGATCCGCCACTCGGAACCATATATAGTGAAAGTTCGATGTGAAAAGAATACGAGAAACAAACTGCTTCGCTGATTGTCAAGAATGACCAATTTCTGGTTCTTAGTTAGATATGCTGTATGCGAAGTAGTTCTCCAGGGTGTAAAGTCTAGATCATGCTTCAGATCCTAAAATTGAGTGTATGTTAGTTTTTGAGGGACGAGGGATGTGGATTTTTGGTCCGAAATACATCTCACAGCAAATTTGATATTTCATAATGTGTTGTCCGCGATGTATGTATAAAAGCCATTGCTCGTTTTATCAGGGTGAAGACCACATACAACAACTAGTTGGCCTGGGTAAAACAATTGCCATTATAAATTATGAGACTATTTGTATTTCTTTTATAACCAAAATCTCATTTAACAAATTGTTCATGCTATTTTATGAACATACTTTATAAAACATAAAAAAGCATGATGTGACATAAAACAATTTCTTATCATATCAAGAAATTATACCCTACAATTTCTTTTACTATTCACTGCCACATCAACAAAAAGTACCGATGTGACATTAGCAACTACCAAAAACCATTTTCCTATTAAAAAATCATACTCACAACCAACATAATTTCTTATTAAAAAATCCTACCTCACTTAAGAAATCTGTAAGAAATTGCTAATAAATTACTGTAGTGGATGGTAATAGCTGCACTCTATGGCAACGCCTTTTATGCGCTCGTAATGCATAACATTATGCATTACGAGCTTTGTCCATGTAAGCTTTTCTTATTGCTTCCTTGGATGAGTCTATAAGCTTGCAACGTCCTCTCGACCTCTCAGCCCACTTTATTTGTTTGAGCATGAATATTCATGCTCTTCTTGCCGTAAAATTAATATCATCTATTTTACCCCTTCTTTTGTAATCTGGCAGGACTCTAAAACTAGTTGGACTACAAACAGGTGGTGGCTAAGAATTCTCATCCTCGCCATTTGTTGACCATGGTTTTCTAAATCAATCTAACCACTTCCAATGCATTCACTTAAACTTTCTACTAGTAAGAGCCATCGGTTCTTCACTTCTTCTTCTAAAATACCTTCTGTGGTTCCATGGGTCTCCCCCTATGTAAGAGCCAAATCCCCAAGACCAGACCCTCCAACAGAACCGTCAGGCATTATGACAGAAGTCCCAAAGAAACCCAAATACATTTCCCATGAATCGGCTATCAAATTGATCAAACGCGAAAAAGATCCACATCGCGTCCTTAGGTTATTTAACATGGTAGGTAATCAAAGGGGTTTTAATCATAACCACTCTACTTATGCTGTTACCCTCCAAAAGCTCGCTCGCTATAGGAAATTCGAGGATGTTGATTCTGTTCTTCATCAAATGGTCTACGAAACATGCAAATTCCATGAAAGTATATTCCTTGATCTGATGACACATTTTTCAAAATCTTCACTTCATAAAAGGGTTGTAGAGATGTTCAATGCAATACAACCTATTGTTCGTGAAAAGCCCTCCCTGAAAGCTATCAGTACATGTCTTAATCTCTTGGTTGAGTCGAATCAAGCTGATTTGGCGAGAACTTTCCTCTTACATACGAAAAAGACTCTTGACTTGTATCCTAATACCTGCATCTTCAATATTTTGGTTAAACATCACTGCAAGCATGGAAATGTTGAATCTGCTTTTGAGGTAGTGAAGGAGATGAAACTGTCGGAAGTTTCTTATCCTAACTTGATCACATACTCAACTCTGATGGAAGGTCTCTGCAAAAAAGGAAGACTTGAAGATGCAGTTAATCTCTTTGAAGAAATGGTTTCAAAAGATAAAATATTGCCCGATGCCCTGACATATAATATCCTGATCAATGGGTTTTGTTGTGGTGGGAAAGTCGACAGGGCTGTGAAGATAATGGACTTCATGAGGAAAAACGGGTGCAACCCAAATATATTCAACTACTCAACCTTAATGAATGGGTTCTGCAAAGAAGGAAATGTACAAGAGGCCAAGAGGGTGTTTAACGAGATGATAGGTGCTGGGTTACATCCTGATAAGGTCGGTTTTACCACTTTGATCAATTGCTTGTGTAGAGCTGGCAAAGTTGATGAAGCTATGGAGTTCTTAAAAGAAATGGAAAAACAAAATTGTAAAGGTGACACCATTACTTTTAATATCATACTTGTGGGACTATGCAAAGAGGATAGGACTTACGAAGCTCTTGAAATGCTAGAGAGGCTGCCTTATGAAGGTGTTTATTTGGACAAGTCAAGTTACAGGATTGTGTTGAATTCTCTATGCAAATTAGGCGACCTGCAGAAGACAACAGAGTTGCTAGGTGTCATGTTGAGTAGAGGATTTGTCCCTCATTTTGCCACCTCAAACGAGTTACTGGTTAGTCTTTGTGAAGCTGGAATGGCCGCCGATGCAGACATGGTGTTGATGGGGTTGGTGCAGATGAGGTTCAACCCTGAACCAAGAGTGTGGAGTTATCTTATTGAGATAATGTGTAGGGAAAGAAGGTTGTTGGCTACATTTGAACTTCTTGATGTGCTAACGAACGAAATCTAGAATGGGAAAGTTTGAGAAGATTGTAGTTTTTACTGCCTGATATACAAGTGAAAGTAGCATTTGAACTTGATGTATTAACATGTTGCATCAGTGTGATTGGTTTTTGACCAATTGAACTTACATGTTTGACTGCATCAAATCTTGAACGAATGGTTTAAGGATTGAACCTTTTTAAGGATAGAAGTACCTCTTGCCACGTGTTCATGATTTCCGTCATGCTTCTTCGTCCTGTAAGGCTGTACTAATTTTCTTTGCAGGTTTCTGGTTTTTGTTCGTTTGCTATGCTTGTGGTTTCAACATTCTTAGGATTGGCTCAACACTTGAGGATAATGAATCAAGATTTTGTCGAACTTAATTGTATCAACTGAACAAACAACCCTAAATGGTATAAGATGCCATTTTTATCGCCAAAAACATTCTATACCGGAACCAAAGCTTTCATCCATCAACCACTTGGGTTGTGGCGCACTGGTTAAGCCTTAGGGGGATGTAATGGAAAATCTCATCTACCCCGGGTTCGGTTCAAATCTAGGCGCTGCCAAAGCCCTTGTGGCCATGGAGGTTCACCAGCAAGGACTCCAGGCCATTCGTGGTCGCCCGGGAGATTAGTTGGTGTGTGTAAGCTGGCCTGGAAACCCACGGTTACCCATAAAAAAGCTTTCATCCATCCTTGATAACCCTATCATGCTACTCAGCTAAGAACCTGATAGAAAGCTTATGGCCTATTTTTGGGGTTATTTAATAAACTATTATTGATTGTTGACATGAGAATTCCTTCATACTATCTATTCTGTATATGGGATGTACTCTTTACAAGCTTTTCTAGTTTCTCTAAATTTCTAGCTAAAATGAGTTACTAGCCCATTGTAATTATTACATGGGATTTACTCAGTCACACATTGCAAAATCTATTAGAGCAGCGGAGTGTCGATCTTGAACAGGAGAAGTAACTCAAGTCATGTAAGGAGAAGTCCATTGAGTTGCTAATCCCAAGTGCAACTCATTGTTTAATAACATTCTATTCCTGGTTGGATGGTGTGACTGTGTGGGTAACAAAGTTTCTTTATATAGTATTATGTGACTAACTTTTGGTAGAATAGCATCATTCTTAGTCAGTGATTTTAGTCCATGGGTAGACCATCTTTGGTTCTAGTAGGTTGCTCTACTTTTCTTAAAAAAATTAACATGCCATAATTTCCGTTTTAGATGTCATTTGCGATCCTGATTCGGTTAATGCTTGATCTTTTTCCCTTTTTGTTCAGGTAAGAAATTGGCAGCCAGCATTGTGAAAGAAAAACTTGCAGCTTGTGTTAACAGAGTACCAGGTATTTTCAATTGACGTTCTTCTCATTGCATGATGGTATCTTTGATTACATTGAAGGAGTTACTAGATTTATGCAAAAGGTTTATCTCTTTATTATGTAAATGCTTACTAGCACATTTGGAAAACGTTTGTGAATTCTTCAGCTCAATCCAAAAGAGTTATGCGTGAAAGTAGATTGCATTAAAATGTAATGTGCTTCACTTCAATTTTTGTTGTAGGCTAAGACACTTTCAGTAGCAAACATTAAAGGCCAAATATTACAAGTTGAAGTCTTAACGAGGAATGATGTGGATTTCACGAGGGATTGACTTTTGGTTTCATATCTTTGGGTTCTCGGCTAGTTTGTTTATCCCGTGGGACCCTGAAGTTAACAAACATGAAAACCCTGAGGGAATTTTTCAAACCATTGTATTTGGCTTTTCATTGCAAACAACTCTTCTTCCGCATGAAAATGTAAAAGAAAGAAAACACTACTACACCTTGCAAGAATGAACAATTTTGAACAAAAAGTGTCAGGCTGACGGTTTCCTTTTGCATTAATATTTGCTTTTTTGCAAACTTTTTTTTTTTTTAATTTGGCATTTTTGCAAGTGCAATTGTTGTGAAGGTCCAATAAGTCAAATATTAATTAGCTATGCTGAATTGATTATTGAAATTCACATGTCTGGTTTCTTCATGTATTTCTACCACCAAGTTTGGCTTCTTGTATTCCTTCTTTCACTCTCCCTTCGTTGGATTTAGAGCACATACTCTGTATAAGATAGAAAATATTTTGCTTGGCACTCTATTTATCTGCGGTTGATGATAAAAAAGTTTGAACATGAATTATGGTTGTGGACTTGTTGAATGCAGGTGTTGAGTCTGTGTACTTGTGGCAAGGAGAGGTACTTTACCATACGATAATATGATTGTACTGGGAATATGTCTTTCTATTTTGACTTTGTTTTAACAATAGCAATTTCTGTGCAGATACAAAACGATTCGGAGGAACTTCTAATAATTAAAACCAGAGAATCCCTTTTGAATGCTCTAACAGAGCATGTCAAGGCAAATCATGAATATGAGTAAGTCGAATGATTGTAAATAATTGTTCCATGATGAAATGAAACACTTTTTTCTAATCGACTTTGGATGGCAGTGTTCCTGAAGTGATTGCAATGCCTATAATGGGTGGTAGCATCCCCTACCTGGAATGGCTCAAAAATAGCACCAGGGACTGAACCGACCCCCTTAACCTTACCAACAAACAGGTTCCACGGACAGGTGAGTAACGCGTAAGAACCTGCCCTTGGGAGGGAAACAACAACCGGAAACGGCTGCTAATACCCTATGCCCATGCTATGGGTTGTTTCATGCCATATATATAATAAGTGTTTGTGAACCCTTCATACTGTCAGATAATTAGTGTTTGGTTATTTTTAAATAGAGTGAATCGTGGATTTGGTCCGTGTTCTGATATTTTTTCTTGACTAGGTTCCGTATGGTATGTTTATTGTGGATTTGGTCCATGTGGTATTCAACTTGTCTTGACCATGGTCCCTCTGACTAACGTATCTGTTAAGCCAAGGACCATTAAATTGTCTGATAAATTTTCTTAATATGGTGGGGTCCCATTCCATAAGTAGCTAAGAGCGTGTGTGTTTGTGTAATTATTGCAATTATTTTTTAATTTGTTAAAAAATAAAATAAAAAGACTTGTCATAATTAAGAATTAAGGTGTTTAAATATGTATTTTTGATTATAAAAACTATTTAGAGAATAAAGGTTAGATCTCAGACCAACAAACGTGGAGCCTTCTCATTTGGTTTTATGCACGTCATCAAAATCATTATTAGAGTCTTTGTAGTTTATTGAAAATTTCTATTTTTATTTTTATAGTTTTTAAATTACAGTTTTCATCCTTATAATTTTTTAATGTTTCGGTTTTCATCCCTCTTAGTAACCGTTCACAAAATTGGTTAAGCTAGGGGCATTTTAGTATTTATTATTAGGGAAAAATCTAAAAAAATTCAATGGACTTTAATGTTTGGAATGATTAAGTCTATAAATAAGTTATTGGACATTTCAAAACATGTTAAACAACTCCTTGAACTTTATAAAACCTGTTAGATGCATCCTTATGACCTATAAAACTAATTAACGCAGTAAAATAATGAAAAAAAACATGAAAAAAAAACTAATGAACATTCATATTTTGAGCGATAAAGTCCCTAGACATTTTCTGAAACAAAAAAGTACTTATATTATATAAAATAAAACAAATATAACAAAAAAATGTACTTACATTATATAAAATAAAATCAATATAATAAAAAACTACTTATATTTAAAAAA